CGCCTCAAGAGTCGTCCTCTTGCTTTGGTTCGCCTTCCTGTTGACTTTTGAGTCGGCTCAAAAGTCAACTGCAGCGCAGCTCCTTTCCCCCTTTCTAAGGCGCCTCAAGAGTCGTCCTCTTGCTTTGGTTCGCCTTCCTGTTGACTTTTGAGTCGGCTCAAAAGTCAACTGCAGCGCAGCTCCTTTCCCCCTTTCTAAGGCGCCTCAAGAGTCGTCCTCTTGCTTTGGTTCGCCTTCCTGTTGACTTTTGAGTCGGCTCAAAAGTCAACTGCAGCGCAGCTCCTTTCCCCCTTTCTAAGGCGCCTCAAGAGTCGTCCTCTTGCTTTGGTTCGCCTTCCTGTTGACTTTTGAGTCGGCTCAAAAGTCAACTGCAGCGTAGCTCCTTTCTCCCCTTTTAAGGCGCCTCAAGAGTCGTCCTCTTGCTTTGGGCTCCCCTTCCCGTTTCAACCCCGTTTTCTCCCCCATTATTCTCCCCTCACCCCGGCTTCTGCTTCTTTCTTTTTTTTTCTACCACAGCTGGCGCGGCTGTTCGAGCTGATAGCCAGCAGAGACCCATGTACTTCCCCTCTCCGCTATCCTGCTCCCCCCCCCCCCCACCTCCCTCCCCCCATTCACGTGATTGCTCACCCCTGTTCACTCCCCCATCTGCTTTCCCTAGCAGAGACCCCTCAGCACGCATTCACGTGATTGCTCACCCCTGTTCACTCCCCCATCTGCTTCCCACCTCCCTCCCCCCGTCACCACAGCTGGCACGGCTGTTAGACCTGATAGCTCGCAGGGACCATCAGCACGCATTCACGTGATTGCTCACTCCCACGGAGGCAACGTGCTGCTTAAAGCCACCGAGCTCGTGAGTGGTGTTTAAAGCCCTGGTGCTAATTAAACCCCAGGCGCAATAGGTCTTCTCTGGGAGCTAGGAAGTTGTGAGTGCTGCTTAAAGCGCAGGTGCAAGTTAAAGCTCAGGTGTCAGGTGTTAACATGGTGACTTGAAAGCCACAGATCTACTAAGAACCCCCAACACACTGCCAACTCTCCCTCCCAACCTTTGCCAACCCCACCTCTTTCTTCCTTCCGTTCCACTCTTCTCCTCCAACCTAGTACAACAAGTTGGGTTTTGAGGCACCTTAGAACTCACCGTCTATCGCGTGGCTTGTCCAACCCTCACCTCTTTCTTTCTTTCTTTCTTTCCTATCTCCTCCCCCTCCAAACTCTCCTTCCCCCATCCCCCCCCCCCACACACACCAGCATATGAATAGGCTGCTCACACAGTCACTCTATACTGCACCCACCCCTCAAACCCTTCCCGCCCCTCTCCACCCCTCCCCACCCCCCCACCAGTACATGAAGAGGCTGCCCACACAGTCGCTCTCCACACTGCATCTGGACATGAAGCAAGATGAAGACACCATCAGCACCCATCAGCACCCATCAGCACCCATCAGCACTCATCTTCGCCCCTTTCCTCTCCACCCCCCCCCACCCCCCAACCAGTACATGAAGAGGCTGCCCACACAGTCGCTCTCCACACTGCATCCGGCCATCAGGAAGCAATTCTGGGCGGCATACAGGCGCGGATTTGATATGGTCAAGGGGTGGCGCCAGGTGGAGCGACCCTCCGGGTGGGGCCGGTTCTTCCCGTCCCTCGTGGCTATGCGCAGGTGAGGACGTGAGGCAGTGAGGCATGGGGAGGTGAGGACAAGAGGCAGTGAGGCATGGGGAGGGGAGGTGAGGGGAACCCGTGAGAGGGATGCGTCGGTCCTTGATATGGTGAAGGGGTGGCGCCAGGTGGAGAGTCGGTGTTTTGAGTTGACTCAAAAACCGGTACATCACACGAGGCATGGGAAGGTGAGGACAAGAGGCAGTGAGGCATGGGGAGGTGAGGACAAGAGGCAGTGAGGCATGGGGAGGTGAGGACAAGAGGCAGTGAGGCATGGGGAGGTGAGGTGAGGGGAACCCGTGAGAGGGTGCGTCTTTCCTTGATATGGTGAAGGTGTAGCACTAGCTGGAGAGACCCTCAGGGTGGCGCCGGTTCTTCCCGTCCCTTGTGGCCATGAGAAGGTGAGAAGGAAGGAGCATCTAGGGAGGTGGTGAGGAGGTGGGGGAGAGAGTTAACTCCCCGGCTTGCAGTGCAGGTGGAGCGACCCTCCGGGTGGCGCCGGTTCTTCCCGTCCCTCGTGGCCATGCGCAGGTGAGGACGTGAGGCATGAGTAGGTGAGAGAAAGAGGGGGTGAGGAATGGGGAGGTGGGGAGTGGGGCAAGGAATCCCAAGACGCAGTATCCCTGGGGCCACCACTGCTGCCTCACACTCCCTCCTCTCATCGTTTCCCTGCTTATACCCCTCTCCCCCTCACAGCATGACAGGCGGAAAGGTCTCCCAAGGCACAAAGGAGCAGTACCCCTGGGGGCGCTACCGCTGGCTGGACACCCTTCTCGGCCTGCCCACCAAGCGGCAGCGCCTGTTCCTCTCCCACCGCCTCGCGACCTCCCCTCTCTCGAATGCTCTGGGCTGCCTCGTGTTCATGGGCACACCCTTCTATGTCAAGGAGTGGGAGAAAAATGGAGTGCGGTGGCTGGTGGTGGTGACGGTGGGGAGCATGGTGCTGATGCTGGTGGTGACGTGGGGCTATGCCTACTACTCGCCTACGCTATTCGCAGCATCATCGGGCATAACAAGTAAGGGTGTGCGAGAGTCTGTGCGTTGAGCTTGCTGCCATGCAAGCAAGAGTTGCTGAGGTTGCCTTGGTGATGGTCCACGTGGGGGCGTGGTGCTGATGCTGGTGGTCATGTGGGGCTATGCCATGCTGCTGGCTTATGTTATCCGCAGCATCATTGGGCATGGCAAGTGAGTGTCGTGTGTCATGGTAATGAGGTGACTTTTGAGTCGACGCAACAGTCACCTCTATGTGATGTGGGGCTATGCCATGCTACTCGCTTATGTTATCCGCAGCATCATCGGGCATGACAAGTGAGTGGAGGGAAGGAGGGAAGGAGGGAAGGAGGGAAGGAGGGAAGGAGGGAAGGAGGGAAGGAGGGAAGGACCGTTTGACACGGCTTTTGAGACGACTCAAACGCACGGTGGCGAGCGTGGTGGTGATGTGGGAAGGACCGTTTGACATGGCTTCCTGTGATGTGAAGGACTGCTTGTGGTCGTGTGGGGCTTTGCCGTGCTGCTCGCTAAAAAAAACAGTCTATTTTTGACGGTAAGCAGTCCATTTTTTACAATAAACAGTCTATATTTGAGTCGACAAAAAATAGGGCACAGCGTGGGATATCAATGAGTCGATAAACATCGTGAAACAGGAGGACAAAGGGGGGAAGGATATGAGGGGGTTTGCATCGTCTAAAAAAAGACTGTTTATCCCCAAAAATAGACTGTTTATTGCCAGAAATAGACTGTTTATCGCCAGAAATATACTGTTTATTGTTTCACTGATACCCCAAGCTACTCCCTGCACGCCTTCTATTTCTCTTTGATGCAGGGCAGGGTAATTTGAGAATTCTCAATAAAACCCTGTAATTTCAAGGGATCGTTCACGCATCATCCCTCCTGACCGACCCCATTTCCTGCATCTAACTTCCTTCCCCATTTCCTTCCCCACCTCTATTCCACTCTCTCTCCTTCCTCTCAGAGCCGAAATCCCATACATCACACTGTTTACTGAGATGTCTCAAAAGTAGACGACTTTTGAGACGTCTCAAAATTCCCATACATCAACCCATTTATTGCCTCTGCTCTCTTCCTCCAAACCTTCCTTCCGTTTACCCCCCCCTCTCTCTCCCACTCCCTTCCCACCATTCCCCCAGACTCCAATTCCCCTACTTCACGCCGTTTATTTTCTCAGCTCTCTTCCTCCTTACCTCCCTCCCTCCCTCTTCTCTCCCCCCCTCTCTCTCTCTCTCTCTCTCTCTCTCTCTCTCTCTCTCTCTCTCTCTCTCTCTCTCTCTCTCTCTCTCTCTCTCCCTACCCACCCCATCAGAGTCGAATTCCCCTACGTCGCGCCGTTTATCGCCTCTGCTCTCATTCTCGTGTTTGCAACCATTAGCATCAGCATCGAGGTATGCTGCCCATTGCCCACTGCACCACGCAATTACCTCTTGTTACCGCACTGCACCACCCTGTCTCGGCTCTCGTTCTCATTTTTGCCACCACTAGCATCAGCATCCAGGTATGCTGCCCTCTGCAATGCACTGCACCTCATCACCGCACTCAACCTCTTGTGACTGCCCTGCACTGCAACCAATTTATTGCCACACCCAAATTCCAGTGACCGCACTACAGCACCCACCACTAACTACTGCAACCACTCATCACCGCACTGCACCTCCGCATCATCACCCCTACTCCCTCCCCTCTCCAGCTCTCCTGCAGCCTACTTCAGCACCACTTATCAAAGCAACCCTCACCACCGCACTGCACCCCTCCTCCTCATAATCTCGCTCCTCCAGCTCTCCCACAGTGTAGCCTTCTACAGCACCTATTGCTTTTTCAACCTCTCACCACCGCACTGCACCACCCCTTTCCATCCTCTCTCCCTCAAATAGATCTCCCGCAGTAACACCGTCTACAGCCGAAACATCAACCACTTGCCCAAGCTTTCCCCCTACCACCTGTCTTCCCTCCTCCTCACTCACTCTCTCTCCTCACCTCCCTTTACTCCCTCTCTTTCCCAGCTTTCCAGCAGTGCTACCTTCTACAGAGGAAACATCTACCACTGATTACCGCACCCACTTGTTACTGCAACCACTCATTACCGCACTGCACCACCCCTCCCCAGCTCTCTCGCAGTACAGCATTCTACAGCGGAAACATCTACCACTCGCCCGACTTTGATTGGTCGCATGCCATGTCAGCACTGGTTGTCCACGCTGGCAAGCTGGATGAGGTGAGATTGGATGCGGTGAGATTGGATGCGGTGAGATTGGATGGGGTGAGATTGGATGCGGTGAGATTGGATGAGGTGAGATTGGATAAGGTGAGAGAGGGCGCTGCTTTTCTTACGATGAGGTTAGAGAATAGTCACCAATCGTTCCCCACCCTCCTGTTCGGCCATCCTGCCAACCAACCCTCCCCTCAGGCGATCCGCACTGGGGATGCAACAATATAAAAAGCGGACAGATCATTCTACATCTTTTAGAACCATTTGATCTCATGCCGTTGCTGCTCAAACCATTTGTTTGCACACCATAACATGTCTTCAAAGGGTCGTTGCCTTTGTGCATTGCATTGAATTGCAACGCATTGCATTTAATTTCATTGCATCGCATTGCATTGAATTTGTTCAATGTGTTGCATTGAACACATTGGATGCATTGAATCTCGTTGCGTTAAATTTCATTGCACTGCATTGAATTGCATTGAATCGCACTGCCTTGAATTGCATTGAATCGCACTGCATTGAATTGCATTGCATTGCACTACATTAAATTGCACAACATTGAGTTGCATTTGATTGAATTGCATCGAATTGCATTGCACTGAATTGCATTGCACTGAATTGCATTGCATTGAATTGCATCGCATTGCATCTCATTGCATTGCATACGGGTACCTCCCCTTCAACCCCATCATACCCCCTCTTTCCTCTATTCACCCCTCTGTTTTCCCCTTCTTCCCCGCTCTGTCAGGCCAGCCTAGCACTGAGTTCCGAGCCTATCGCCCGAGCCTACGTGTTCCCACACCTGGCCAACATGCTGAAGCTGCCCTTCTGGAAGCCCCTCCCCCAGTTCCCACCTCGCGACGCCGTCCCCCTCGACTGGCTCCTCTACTTCGCCTCCTTCGGCCGCATTCTCCTCTGGAACATCATCTTTATCCTGCCGGCACTCGTCATCTCGTTACTGTCACACGTGGTGGCGCCGCTGGTGATCGGCGCGGTGAGGAACGTGATTGTGGTGATCAGCTTCGGGCTGGCTCAGAACGAGCTGAGCTTCGCACATGTCTTCATGGACGAAGTATTGGACCTGGGGCTCTCCTCTCAGCACGTGGAGCATTGGAACGTGCAGGTGAGCTCTTGCTGTAGCACTCACTGCAGGTGTGTGCTGCTCATTGCATGTCTTCATGGATAAGATTCTCGACCTGGGGCTCTCCTCGCAACACGTGGAGCACTGGAACGTGCAGGTGAGGGCATGGTAGGTGGGTGGGGGTGCAGGTGGGTTGACAGCAGGGTATGCGGCCCTGCTGTAGCTTGCAGAGAACTGGGCTCTCTAAAAGGGGCTCTCTAAAAGGGGCTCTCTGAAAGGGGCTCTCCTCGCGGCACGTGGAGCACTGGAACGTGCAGGTGAGGGGAGGTAGGGGGGGGGTTGTAAGGTACAGCAAGGAATGTACAGGCGAGGGAATTTGTGGGTAGGGGTGTATGGGATTCCCTTGCGGCACATGGGTTGTTGGTGTGTTCCGCACCCAAGGGGCTGTCGTCAGCATGAGGTGCTGCACCTGGGGCTGTAGTCACAGCATGTGGGTGGGTGGGTGGGTGGGTGGGTGGGTGGGTGGGTGGGTGGGTGGGTATGAAGATGGCACCTCAAGTTGGGACCCTTCGTGCACCTCCCTTGCCCCTCCCCCTCCTTTCCCCTTTTCTCCCCCTATTGCAGAAACTTCTTGCGCTGGCCAAGACGCGGTCGCTGCAGGGCGAGCTGATGGCGGGGTATGAGGATGACACGTGTGACATGGGGGAGGCGGTATTTGAGGAGGGGTTACTCGGAGAGGGGTTGCTTGTGAATGGGGCACCTGGAGGAGGAGAGGAGGGGATGAAGGGTGAGGGTGAAGGAAAGGGTAAGGGTGTTGAAGGGGATGGGAAGGGGGAAGGGTGGGTGAATGGGCGAGCAGCAGCCGTAGCACCAGAGCCGGCATCAGCTGTAGCAGGGCCAGCAGCTGCTGTAGCAGGTACAGTGGCTGTAGCAGGGGCAACGGCTGTAGCAGGGGCAATGGCTGTAGCAGGGGCAGCGGCGGCTGTAGCAGGGGGGACTGGGGCGGGGGAGGAAAAGGACAAAGACAGCTGCTACCGCCCGACTCTCGACCCGTGCTTGAGCAACTCTGCTGGCCAATGGCAGCGCAGCGCGAGCCGGCTGCGTCGACGAGTTACGTTCAAGAGCAGTAGAACGTTTGGAGGCGACATCCGGGGAGATGAAACTCTCGGAGATGAAACTCACGGAGACGTAACGGGCGGAGATGTAACTGCCGTGGCGACATGTCACACTCATGATCTCCCTCTGCTGCCACTCGGCGAAAGCCGAGGATGTTCCTTCGACCCGTCCCTTACTCACTACAACCACTCATCGCTACAAGGGGAAGGGCAGGGTGGAGTAGGGGGGAAGCACAGGGATGTTGAGTTGACGAGAGGAGGGATGGAGAAGGTGGGAGAGAGTGCGAGGGAGAGTAAGAAGCATGGGGAGGAGCAACTACTGTATGAGTATTTATGGGATGATAAGGAGCTGGATGAGGCTGCAGCTAAGTGTCTTACTTACCAGTGTCTCGAGCCGGAAATCAACAAGATGTGGAAAAACCCGCGGCTTACCCCGCAGCAGTTTGTTCGGCAGTTTAAGCAGCTGTGTGTGATGATTGAGGATCGGTTTAAAGAGCTCACGGGTAAGTTTGACCTGAATCATGGGGCTTATTTTAGAGATCCCCGGATCTTGGGGGTGGTTGCACATTGTATGTGAACTACGCTTTGCAGGCTAACTATGGTAAAATTATGGTTAATATTTCAAGATCAATACTGCACTCTGGGAGAAACCTCTGGTTAGTTATTTGAGGTATGCTTGGCGTCATATTTGTAGAAGTACCAGGTAGTGAGTTATCCACGTGTAAAGGGATGCTTTGAGTTCATACCTTTCATTATGTGTACATTAAAAGTACTTTTGGCGCGTTCGAGGATGCCGTGGGCAGTCTGCCACGCCACAACAACACCAAACCGACCTGCATAAGGGCACGTGTGATCTTGCCGAACCTCACTGAAAGTTCGAACTTTTATAACGGTTCGTCACGGTAGAATACAATTAGAAGAGTTTTGCCACATTGCAAAGCGGTTTGAGTTCGAACTTTTTCAGGTTCGGCAAGATCACACGCGCCCTAACCGCGACACTCCCCGTGCACTTTTCCAACTTTTGAGCCACCGTCGGTGACACGCAAGCCGTTTCCGCTAACTCCCAGAATCTTGCACCAAATGCCGTTGGACAGATCCGGTAATTTGCCAGTCGTCGACGTGTCAGACGCTTACAAGCGAGCGCCACGTCATTTCAGGCAGGTTTTGGTGCCCCTCTCCACTCTCGTGAAACTTCCAGGACTTGCGGTTGTTGAGAGTGAATTGAACAACGGGCAGCCTCAATTCAGCTGAGGTTCTGGAGCGTACCGCCCAGTTCATACACATGATGCCCGGTTGAGCCCCCCAACTTTGGCCTACCCCATGTGCGTATAAGTGATTCTGCATTTTGCGGTGGTTTCGTCAATTCGCATCGGGCAAAAAGGGCTTATATAAAAATTTTGTAACTCACCGTTGACTGTTTGACTGCAGTCTCATCAGTCAGACTTCCGTTTCTGTGGCTCTTATTGGTCGACGTGCTTGTAACGTAGGTGCAACTTCGCGGCAAGAAACCCACGGGTGCAAGGTTTCTGGAACGTGAAAGGCAATTTCGCGTGCACGGGCTGGGCATCGACTGTATCCCTCACTTCACAGAATTACAGGCATTTCCATTCCATTTCGTCTCGCTCACTCGACTCGACAAGAAACTGCTGTTTCCAGTTTCAGCTGTTCAACTACTGTCGGAGAGCAACGTCCTCATTGCAACCGTACCTTTCCTTCACTGCTTCTCCTGGTGACTGTCACTCTCCGTTCTTTTCCAATTTAGTCTCTCCTGCCTTCGTTCGCACTGCGGCTGCCATGGCTTTCGCGGCAATCAGCAGGCCTGCAACGCAAACGATCAGCGTATCTCGTGAATGTCTGTCCACAAGCTCTAGCCAGCCAACTAGACGAGTGGAATTGCGCTCGAAAGGCTCGATTCGCAGGAATCGCAACGCATTGAAGAGCCATTATTGGGGTTCTCGCCAGGCGACGGCGAACGGCTGTTTCCACTCCCATTCCCTTCTGGCGCGAACTGGATCGACACAGAGCGGCAATACTCATCGTTGGAGGTACAAGTATCGCATTCCGTTTTTATTCTTCGTAATACGAAACCAGAAATCGGTTTTCCTTAGTTCCACGCATTTCGCTTTCCTTATTTGTTCCCCTTTCACAGACTCCTGGGTTTTCTCATCCTCCCCCTGCCACAAACATTCATTTCCAAATTCGCTCCCGTATTTCCTACACAGGTGTGAGGCAAGCACCAGCGGAAGCCCTAAACCGGAAATTACGGAGAAAGAGAGCCAAGAGCGGGCCGCAAATTCTGCCGCATCCAACGGTTCAGCCGCTTCCGGTTCGGACAAACCGAAGCTGATTGCATACGACTACGGCTTTCAGGTACTTATTTCACTTAATTCCAAAGGTAGCGCCGACTCTCCAGCTATTCTTCTACTCCACCCCCGCTCCTTGTCCACCTCACTGTGAAAATCCGAGTTTCCTCGCACGCGCGTCCGAACGTCCCTTCAACCCTTTCGAACGTGTTTGAGAATCTAAGATTGAATTGACCGTTTCCTTCGTCCCCTCCTCTCCCCTTCGTCCTGCCTCTCCGTCGCAGTCCAAGTTTCTTCGCACGGGGCCCAACGTCCCTGGTAACGTCTTCAAGCTCGCGTTCGAGAATTTCGCCCGCGAGTATGCGGTAAGCACGTCAGCATGCCGTGCCATTATTCAAGCTCCCAACAACGCCATAACGAGAACACCTCCGTTTTTCCCATCGAACCTAAACTTCACTCCCGAACCTGCGTCCGTCGGTTCTTTCGCAAGTCTATGTTTCCCATCGCAAGCCTTCTCCGCTCTCGTGCGCGTCGCGTTTCGCCAACGCATCCTTGTCCATGCCCTTTCACTAGCATCGTTTGAGTCCACCCAAGAGTCACCTTGTCCAGGCCCTTTCGCTAGCAACGTTCTTTAACTCGCGAGTTTCCATGTTTTCTCCCATTCACGTGCACACCCTTCGTAGCAACTTCTGTTTTAAGTGTCAAGTCTTCATGTGTTTTCTCCCGTTGGCATTCACGTGCAGGCCCTTCGTAGCAACGTTCTATACGAGGAGCTCAGCGACGTGCGAAGTAAGTGCAGCTCCTTCACCGTTCGGCTCATTCTGTAGAGTGACTCGCTAAATCTTTAACAAGGGGTCAATCCCTCCCTAGCCTTTGCCCCGAACTGATGCATGGTCTTTTGCTCAAATTGACTCAAATTTTCTATTTCTTTTCCGCCTCCCCTCAATCTCCCCTCTCCCAGCCGACAACATCAAGAGAGACGGCAGGCAACTTGCGCTCGCATACGCAGGTCGCTTCGCCCCCTCGCCTCAGCGCTCAATTTGACTCATCAACTTCCTTTTACTTCCTTCTTACCTCAATCTCCCCCACCCAGCCGACAACATCAAAAGAAACGGCAGGCAACTTGCGCTCGCGTACGCGGGTCGCTTCCTCGTTTCCACCCTCAAGTTCTTTGACAAGCTGCTCACGCTCTATGACGGACTTCCAGAGATCAAGCCCCCTCCTGCTGTAAGTCTGTCTCCCCCCCCCTCCTCCCCCCCCTGCCGCAAGCCTTACGTCTGTGGTTCATGTATCTGTAATTTAATACTGTTCTATGAGGCGCTTCCTCATTTCTCAATTCACTTAAAGCTCTCTCAAACTATATCCCTTACAGATGCCCGAGGAAAGTGAGGCTCTGCGGAAAAAGCTGCAGCAGCTGACGCTGAGCAACGAGGCAGTGGCTAAGAGGGAGGAGGACCGGCCTCAGGTGGAGGCGCCTGGGTGGATCCTGCTGCCTTACAAGCTGCTGTGCTGGGTGAGTGGTGGCAGAAGCGGTGGGAAGTGCAATGGTATGTGCCTGGCTGTGTGCGTAGCTAGCCTGTGCCTCGTGACCTCAGGTGGAGGCGCCTGGATGGATCCTGCTGCCCTACAAGCTGCTGTGCTGGGTGAGTTGAGTCCGCGCATGTGGGATGCATGTGGGGCGGTAGCTAAGAGGGAGCAGGACTGGCCAGATGGAGGCGCCTGGATGGATCCTGCTGCCCTACAAGCTGCTGTGCTGGGTGAGTTGAATTGACGGGGGTGCCTGCTATGCAGAGTGCAGCCAGGGTCTAAAACCTTGAGAGAGGGAGGAGAACCGGCCTTAGGTGGAGGCCCCTGGATGGATCCTGCTGCCTTACAAGCTACTGTGCTGGGTGAGTTGGGTGCTGTGAGTGGGTTTCCGGATGGGCAAAGCAGAGTGTATAAGGAGAGAGAGAAGAGATGGAGGAGGACCGGCCTCAGGGGAGCCCCCCTGGGTGGATCCTGCTTACTTGCAAGCTGCTGTGCTGGGTTAGTGCCAGGAGAAGCGGTGGGAGGTGGGATGATATGTTTCCTGGCTTGTGCGAATCAAGTGTCAAATAATCTTTCTACTGAGGAAGCCAAGAAAGGGGTCAGTGTTTTTTTTCAGGGCAATGATATGTCAATTCCACTTCTCCCTTTCCCCGTCCCATCCGTCAGATGCTAGACGTCATCTTCTACAACCGCCCCATCCAACGGTTCTGGTTCCTCGAGACCGTAGCACGCATGCCATACTTCTCGTGAGTGCCAACATGCCATGTTAAGCACCATCATGCGATGCGGAGTACCATCATGCCATGCGGAGTACCATCATGCCATGCGGAGTACCATCATGCCATGCGGAGTACCATCATGCCATATCAATCTTTGAGTCGACTGAAAAATCTACTTGCTGCACGCATGCCGTACTTCTCATGAGTACCATCATCCCATGGCAACCATGTGTAGTGGACCATCATTCGTGCATCGTTGTTCATGACCCATCGTTCGTTTGTGGATCATGCCATGCCATGCCATGCCATGCCATGCCATGTCATGCCGTGTGCTTGCGTGCCAGTGTGGTACACTCCGTACACATGCTTCACTTGTCAAGAGTTCCAGCCTTGCTTGTTCCCCATTTCCTTTCGTAATCCTTTGAGCCCCATGCCCTTCCCCCCCATGTCCCTCCCTCCCCTGCAGCTACATCTCCATGCTTCACCTCTACGAGACTCTGGGATGGTAAGTTGCTGGAACCGAGGTGCTCTGGGGTAGATTTGTGTGGTGTACTTGTAAGGAGGTTCACACACGCCCCTCCCTCCTTCACAGCTACATCTCCCATGCTTCACCTTTATGAGACCTTGGGATGGTAAGTTGCTGAAAACCGGTTCTGAGCAATAAAATCTTTGCACAGTGCCTCATGGCAAATTCTCTTCGGTCTGGAAAGTTCGCCTTCTCAGGAAGTCTGGTCAATAAAAGCAGCATTGTCTTCTCGACTGCATGCTTCTCCCCTCACTTCCTTATCCTGTACTCCCTCGCCTGTTCCAAACCTCAGGTGGAGGTTCGGCATGGCGGTTCGGAAGGTCCACTTCGGCAGCGACCGGCTCTGGATCGACCACTTTTTGGCCTCCCTGAGAATATTATCTGCCTGCTTTTCCCACCTCCCTGCTTGCTTGCCACGGTCCCATACCTCAGGTGGAGGTTCGGAGCGGAGGTTCGGAAAGTCCACTTCGCGGAGGAGTGGAACGAGATGAACCACCTGAAGATCATGGAGTCCCTCGGCGGCGACCGGCTCTGGATCGACCGGTTCTTTGCTCAGCACGCCGCCATCCTCTACTACTGGGTCCTCAACTTCATGTTCCTGGTCTCCCTGCCCCTCTCTTCCTGCTTGCCGCTGTCCCGTCCCATTCCCGTCATATCAACTGAACCTCAGGTGGAGGGTCGGAGCGGAGGTTCGGAAGGTGCATTTCGCGGAGGAGTGGAACGAGATGAACCACCTGAAGATCATGGAGTCCCTCGGCGGCGACCGGCTCTGGATCGACCGGTTCTTTGCTCAGCACGCCGCCATCCTCTACTACTGGGTCCTCAACTTCATGTTCCTGGTCTCCCTGCCCCTCTCTTCCTGCTTGCCGCTGTCCCGTCCCATTCCCGTCATATCAACTGAACCTCAGGTGGAGGGTCGGAGCGGAGGTTCGGAAGGTGCATTTCGCGGAGGAGTGGAACGAGATGAACCACCTGAAGATCATGGAGTCCCTCGGCGGCGACCGGCTCTGGATCGACTGGTTCTTTGCTCAGCACGCCGCCATCCTCTACTACTGGGTCCTCAACTTCATGTTCCTGGTCTCCCTGCCCCTCTCTTCCTGCTTGCCGCTGTCCCGTCCCATTCCCGTCATATCAACTGAACCTCAGGTGGAGGGTCGGAGCGGAGGTTCGGAAGGTGCATTTCGCGGAGGAGTGGAACGAGATGAACCACCTGAAGATCATGGAGTCCCTCGGCGGCGACCGGCTCTGGATCGACCGATTCTTCGCACAGCACGCGGCGATCCTCTACTACTGGGTCCTCAACTTGATGTTCTTAGTGTCCCCGTGCGTGGCGTACAACTTCTCGGAGCTGATCGAAGCGCATGCGGTGGACACGTATGGCGAGTTTGTGGATGAGAACGAGGAGCTGCTGAAAACTCTGCCTCCCTCCCCAGCAGCTATTGCCTACTACAACAGTGATGACCTGTACATGTGAGTGGCTTGAGACTGACATATGGTAAGTTGATTGAGGCGCATGCGGTGGACACGTACGGGGAGTTTGTGGATGAAAATGCGGATCTGCTCAAGATGCTTCCTCCATCGCCGGCGGCTATTGCCTACTACAACAGTGATGATCTGTACATGTGAGTTTGGGGAAAAAAGGGGGATGTCAGATGCGCGTGTGTTAGCGTGGGGGTTGAGGTGACAACATATATGTGCGACTATTCGTCCTTCTCTCAGAGATCTGACATTTCCAGCAATGCTGTCCCCACTTTCCTTTTACTTGTCCAGGTTCGATGAATTTCAGACATCCCGAGTCCCTGAATCCCGGCGGCCGAAGATTGAGAACCTGTACGATGTCTTCTGCGCCATCAGGGTGCGTACTCACCATAACCTGCTCCCATGTGCATAATTCTCTGATTTTGTTCAGTAATATGCCCATTTTGTTACCACACACGGTTCATTATCACTGTCTGTATGACTGTCTGCATGTCTGTATGAGCCGTTCTTGCTCCTCTATCACCCTCTCCATGGTGCCCTTTCCTAAACCACCACAACCATGTTCCCTCTCATCTTTCCCTACATTCTTCTATTCTTGCTCTCATTCTCATCCCACCCTTCCCCTTCTCCCTTCCCACCCTCCTCACTTCTTCACCTTTCCTTGCCAAAACCTTCACATCAGGACGATGAGATGGAGCATGTGAAGACAATGTCTGCCTGCCAGCAGCTCGACTCGGTCGTGCGCTCACCCAACCGCCCAGGCTACGCCCCCCTGCCCTCCCCCGCTGACGTGTACTTTGAAGGCCTGATTGCAAAAAACTCATCCGCCACGTCAGCTTCATCTGCTGCTAAGGCATCGCCCTCGGCAGTATCATCATCAGCGTACAGCGCAGCTGTAGGGGAATCGAATCTGGCCAAGGATGTTCTTCCTCAGGCACTCAAGTCTCAAGGAGAGTCGTTGAAGTGATGGGGTCTAGATTATGGCCCTGTTATGGAGAACACATGCGATGGTGTATGTACATATCCAGTTTTCGTAGCATGTGTGTAATTATGATCTATTATACTGCTTGTGTGCATCGTGCTTGCATTGTGTGTGTCGATCTTGGTTTGTTGTGGTTCTTAATTGTTGGTTTGTAATGAATATTCATAGAGTTAATGAAGATTTTAGAAGATCTAAGGAAGAGGAAGAGAAATGTAAGAACAGTTGTTGTCCCTAAACATATTGTTGTCTCAAACAAATAAACTCGTATATATGTTTTGCAAGAAGTGTAGCAGCGATGGCTCTGACACAATCCCGTGGTAGCCACGCAAAGCTTCGATTTTGGAGCCGTTCGAGGTTCGGTGATGGAAGATGGAGGGTTGCTCGATACCAGAACGAACCGTACTATAACTCTGTTGTTGACGCCCAACCACGAATAACTATCGAGGGGATTTGCCCCATGAAAACGCTGAGGGGGTGTCCCGCTCAGTCACACACAGCACTCCCTCTGGTAGGGAAAGCCTCGGGATTGGTTCTTTGCATTCAACTCGAGTCTCCATAGTTTCAGTTCAACCTACCACCGACGCAACGCCAGCCAAGGTCCGAAATTCATTCGAGCTAGGCAGTCATTTCAGACGGACAATTTTTTTGAGCTTCTTCCATTCACCTGCAATCCGTGTTACTCGCGACTCGCGAGTGGAGTGTCGTTACGCGAAGGTTGCGCGCTCCGAGGCGACGTGGTTTCGTCGTCCGCGCGAAGCTCACTAGCTCGTCGTATCCGCCATGGCTTGGTCCGAGTCGGCTCGTTCAAACAGCAGCCGCCTTTGCGTTCGAACCCGCATTCGTGCTCGCAGTTATAAATGCAGTCATCCACCAGGCATCCACCAGCAATCCACCAGCCGTCCACCACAGAAGCAACCTTGTTTGACGTTTAAAGTCTCCCGCATTTCTCTCCGTCTGCCTGCTTCCCTCGTTCTTACAGCCAGAAAACCGTTGCTCCGTCCGATCCCCCATTGCCTGTTTATGCTCCACTACCGCGCTCGTTAGTAACTTGATGGCTTGCACTAAACGCTCAGCGCAGTTAGGATCATCTGTCATGCTCCCTTTCCTCGTCGTCCTCCTTCACACGTCCCTCCTCTCCCACAACTTCCTCTCCGCATCCGCCGCCGTCGCCGCCGCACACGGCCGTCACGGTCGCTGGAACCACGCCTCGACACAATCTCGCGCTTCGGCTGCGAGCGGTCCGGGATGGTATCGCAACCGCGCGTCCGTACCGTTTCAGCCCGCCACGCAATCATCATCCCGAGCCGCTACTGCTGCGAGTGGTCCCGGATGGTATCGGAACCGCGCGTCCGTACCGTTTCCGCTGTCCACGCGACCGTCATCCCAAGCTGCGGCTGCTGTCAACGGTCCCGTACGGTACCGCAGCCGCGCTGTCGTACCGTCTCACCCCGCCTCGCAATCATCATTGCGAGCAGCTAGTGCTGCAGCCGCTGCCAGCGGGCCCTGCTCCTTCGTGTCCTGCCCCAAGGGCTGCACCTGCGCTGCTTCCGGGGGCGTCGCCAAATGCTCGTGCAAAGGTGATAGCAACTTTTGAGGCGCCTTAAAAGTCGCCTCAAAAGTCTTCTGCGGGCGTTGCCAAGTGCTCATGCAAAGCTGATAGCAACAATTTCAGAAGATCCCTGTTATGGTGTCAAGTGCTTGCCCTAATGCATGGTGCAGAGCGGTGCAATGGTGTGCAAATGTCCAACCCGGGTCCGTTCCTCCTGTCTCCTCCCCTGTCTCATCCCCCCACTTTTTTAGACCCCTGCTACGGTGTCAAGTGCCCTCACGTGTCCAAGTGCGCGTTGCAGGGCGGTGCAGTGGTGTGCACATGTCCTGCTCCCTTCAAGCGTCTGATCAACAACCGGTGCTCCTCTGATGATATTCCCAACTCCGATTATCTCGACCCACACAACGCGGCCAGGGCTGCTGTTGGCGCCGTGCCCCTCGAATGGGACGACGCAGGTGAGTGACTTTGAGTTGACTTGAAAGAAACAACAACAAGTGTTGCTCCTTTTCTGACTATCCCAACTCTGACTATCTCGACCCGCACAATGCCGCCAGGGCTGCTGTTGGCGCCGTGCCCCTTGAATGGGATGATGCAGGTGGGTGGCTTTGAGTTGACTTGAAAGAAACAACCAGTGCTGCTCTTCTGATGATGACTATCCCAACTCTGACTATCTCGACCCACACAACGCCGCCAGGGCTGCTGTGGGTGCCGTGCCGCTCGAGTTTGACGACGCAGGTGAGTGACTTGAGAGTTGACTGTGTTGACTGAGTTGACTGAGTTGACTTGACTCGAGGGAAGCAACTGGTGCTCATCTGACGATATTCCCAACTCCGACTATCTCGATCCACACAACGCTACCAGGGCTGCTGTTGGTGCCGTGCCCCTCGAGTGGGATGACGCAGGTGAGTGATGGGTTGGGTCGGATGCTGGTGCGGTGAGTCTCTTTTCTAGGCGCATGAGTTTCTTTTCTAGGCGCCTCATCTGAAGGTCCGTCCGTGGCAGGTGAGTGATGGTGCCGTGCGTCTCGTGTGGGACGACAAATGTGCGCTCGTGGTTGGGCCTGTCAGAAGTTGGTGTGGTGTGTGCAAGATGGTCTGGTGTGGTCTGGTGTGGTGTGATGTGGTGTGTGCGACACGGCGTACGAACGATGTTAGTCTGGTCTGATGTTCATCTTGGTGCGGTGTCTCCTCCCAGTCGCTGCACTGTTCATTCAAGCTGTGATTCCTTGTCTCCCTCCCTCCCTCCCTCCCTCCCTCCCTCCCTCCCTCCCTCCCTCCCTCCCTTCCTTCCCCCACTGCCTCCCGCCTCCCTCTCAACAGTGGCTGAGAGAGCCCAGACGTGGGCGGACACTTTTGCCAGCGACAATAATTGTGGGCTGGAGGATGGCGGCATGGGTGAGGGCGACGGGCAGAACCTCTAACCTACCCCTCTCCTCACCACTTTCCCTCCCTTCCCCCCTCCCTCCCCAGTGGCTGAAACAGCCCAGGCGTGGGCTGACAAGCTAGCCAGCGACAATAACTGCGGCCTCGAACACGGCGGCATGGGGGATGGCGAGGCGACGGGCAGAACCTCTCTGGCGCACCACACGCCCCTCATTCCCTCTCCTTCCTGTTCCTCTCTTTCCCCCCCTCATTCCCCAGTGGCTGAAACAGCCCAGGCGTGGGCCGACAAGCTAGCCAGCGACAACAACTGCGGGTTAGAGCACGGCGGCATGGGAGATAACGAGGGGCAGAACCTGTCAGGCGCAGGCCCGTCTGGGTGGGCTTCAAATAGCGACGCAGTGCAGTGGTGGGTGGGCGAGGGGAAATGGTACAAGCGCCCGCCTGCTATCTTCCCTGCTGGCTGCATCGGTGGCGACTGGGGCAGATGCGGCCACTACACGCAGGTAAGGGGCAGGCACGCTGCACGCAGGCAAGTAGAACCTCTCAGGTGCCTTTTGAGTTGACTCAACAGTGAGGGCGGAGGCAAGTGGTATAACCGCCCGCCGGCTATCTTCCCGGGTGGTTGCATCGGTGGCGACTGGGGCAGATGCGGCCATTACAGTACACGCAGGTGGGCCGCGTTAGCTGGCCGCGTTTGTTGCCTTCTCTTTATAATAGCCTCAGAAGCTCACTCACATGTGCCTCGTGTCTCGTGCCATGTGGGCGGGCGGTGTATGTGTGTGTGCTCTGCAGGTGATATGGAACAACTCACGCAAGGTGGGGTGTGGCAAGGCGTCGTGTGGCGAGGACAACGACGTGTGGGCGTGCAACTACTATCCCGCGGGCAACTTTGTGGGCGAGCTGCCTTATGGTGAGCTGAGCTAACAACTCCCGCAAGGTGGGGTGTGGCAAGGCGTCATGTGACGGGGACGGTGACGTGTGGGCGTGCAACTATTTCCCTGCGGGCAACTTTGTGGGCGAGCTGCCTTATGGTGAGCTCACAAGTCCGCACGTCACCATCCGTGAACCATAAGGAGTCTTGCTCACTCACAACCCCGCTCACAACCCCGCAGTTCAAGATCTCTCTTCCCGAGTGCTCTGCCCTTCCATGGCACGTCCACCCGTGCGGCTGTGAATGGCAATTAAGCCCGCCTGCCTGCTCGTCTTAAGTCCCCTCCGCACCTTCCCTCCTCTCCCTCTTATTCCATCTTATCCCTCTCTGCAGTTCAAGACCCTTGCTTCTGAGTGCTCTGCCCCTCCACGTCCAAATGCGCTGCTGTGAATGGCAAGCCCGTCTGCCTGCTCGCATTGAGTCCCATCCTCACCTTCACACCTCTCTTATCCGCTCTTATCCTATATCACCCCATCCCTTCTGCAGTTCAAGACCCGTGCTTTCGAGTGCTCTGCCCCTCCACGTCCAAATGCGCTGCTGTGAATGGCAAGCCCGTCTGCCTGCTCGCATTGAGTCCCATCCTCACCTTCACACCTCTCTTATCCGCTCTTATCCTATATCACCCCATCCCTTCTGCAGTTCAAGACCCGTGCTTTCGAGTGCTCTGCCCCTCCACGTCCAAATGCGCTGCTGTGAATGGCAAGCCCGTCTGCCTGCTCGCATTGAGTCCCATCCTCACCTTCACACCTCTCTTATCCGCTCTTATCCTATATCACCCCATCCCTTCTGCAGTTCAAGACCCGTGCTTTCGAGTGCTCTGCCCCTCCACGTCCAAATGCGCTGCTGTGAATGGCAAGCCCGTCTGCCTGCTCGCATTGAGTCCCATCCTCACCTTCACACCTCTCTTATCCGCTCTTATCCTATATCACCCCATCCCTTCTGCAGTTCAAGACCCGTGCTTTCGAGTGCTCTGCCCCTCCACGTCCAAATGCGCTGCTGTGAATGGCAAGCCCGTCTGCCTGCTCGCATTGAGTCCCATCCTCACCTTCACACCTCTCTTATCCGCTCTTATCCTATATCACCCCATCCCTTCTGCAGTTCAAGACCCGTGCTTTCGAGTGCTCTGCCCCTCCACGTCCAAATGCGGTGCTGTGAATGGCAAGCCCGTCTGCCTGCTCGCATTGAGTCCCATCCTCACCTTCACACCTCTCTTATCCGCTCTTATCCTATATCACACCCATCCCTTCTGCAGTTCAAGACCCGTGCTTTCGAGTGCTCTGCCCCTCCACGTCCAAATGCGCTGCTGTGAATGGCAAGCCCGTCTGCCTGTGCCCACGGGGCCAAGTGCTGGTCAATGGCAGCACGTGCCAAGCAGGTGAGCTCTGATGCGTGGTGTGTGGTTTGTGGGTGGCATGTGCTATCTGTGGCATGTGGTGTGTTTAATGCAAGCCCGCCTGTGTGGGCATGTGTCCGCAGGGCCAAGTGCTGGTCAATGGCAGCACGTGCCAACTCGGTGAGCACGTGCGGTGTGCGGTGTGCGGTGTGCGGTGTGTGGTGTGCGGTGTGTGGTGTGTGGTGTGTGGGTGGCATGTGCTATCTGTGGCATGTGTGGCATGCGGTGTGTTTAGTGCAAGCCGGTCTGCCTGTGTCCGCGGGGCCAAGTGCTGGTCAATGGCAGCACGTGCCAAGCCGGTGAGCACTTGGCGTGTGTGAATAGTCGCTTTAGTCCCACTCTCCTTTTAATCCCCTCTTTAGTCCCTCTCTCCGTTTTGTCCCCTCTTTAATCCCACACTTTTTTACCAGCCTCCCTCAGCCCTCGCCTACCAACCTTTTCAGCTGTCTCATGCCACGCTTGCAGAGGTAGCACACACGCGACATATCCCTCCCAACTGTATCTTCCCGTCTCTTCAACCCCTCCAATTCCATGCAGACCCATGCAAAGGCGCGGCCCCTTGTCCCGGGGACTTTGTGTGTGATGGCACGTCTGGTGCGGCCAAGTGTGTGTGTCCCACGGGGACTGTGCAGATCGCTCCCAACACATGCCAGGGTGAGTGCTGTGCTAGTAAATACGGTCTATTGAGGCAGTTCGATATAGAGGGTTTTTTTTCGATATAGAGGTTGTTCACACCTCTTCACTCATTGTCATGTCACCCCTCTCCATCCTTTTCCATCCCTCTCCACCCCTACAGCGCCTTCATGCAAGGGAGTGAAGTGCCCGGCGTCTGCTCGCTGCAGGGCGGACAGCAACGGCATCCCTTTCTGCGCCTGTCCCGCCTCCCAATCCCTCGTCAACGGCGCATGCACTAAAGGTACCTTACTCTGAATCCCCATCTCCCTTGCCTCGTGGGTCTCCCTCACAGCATCGGCATCCCCTTCTGCGCCTGCCCTGCCTCCCAGTCCCTCGTCAACGGCGCATGCACTAAAGGTACCTTACTCTGAACTGTCCCCACTTCACCAATGCACCCACCTCACTCGCTCCCATCGTGCTCCGAGCCCCCGCTCCTTTATCGCACTCACTTCTCCCTCATTTACTCCCCCCCCCCTCTTCTCCCCTTTCCCCTCCCCCCCGTGTCCCTTCCAGCCGGTCCCCCCACTGTCACCACCAGCATCGCTCTCTTCACCCGCCCATCCTTCACTGGCACTCCCATTGTGCTTCGAGCCCCCATGCCTGACACCGACGATCCCACTGGCTGCGTCAACATCCCCTCCTCCATGGCTGGGGCCGTGGGTTCCCTGAAGATTCTCTGGGACGCTCCTGATGGGGCCAAGGGGGCAAGGGTGGCGTGTGGGCTCATGTGGTTTTGGAGTGAGGCGGACTGCTATGGCGGGGCGCCGGGGTGGGACCGACCCGACAACAATATTACCATTGCCAAGTGAGTGACGTGATATGGATAGCGTAAATAATGTTTACTTGGTTATTGTTTAGTGGTTGTAACTTGTATCCCGCTTGCCTGCCTTTCCCATACATGCCCCGCTTGGGTTGCTTGCGCTGACGCGGTGTGGCATCCCATCCCAGCTACTGGTTTCCTGATTTACCCTGAATTTTCTTTTTCCTTACCCATTTCCTGTTCCTTGTTTGGTATGTTTGTTTGTTTTTCATGTTAGGACCACGGATGGAGGAGTTGCCTTGGTGCAAGCTATTAGCTGCGCGTCGTAAATGCACCATTAACCAGAGTTATTTGAGCTTGCTATTTGTAAAATAAGTGTTGTTTTAAGAGGCCCTTGTAAAATAAAAATTTATGTTACATTTGCTAGTACTTTTTTTTCTTAACGCTGATTGTCGTATAGAGTGTCTCCGCAACCAGAGATGCAAATCTCTAGATACGTGAAACGAGCGACCGTCTAAAGGGTTGCTTGGAGAAACTTTGTTCCGCAACCTTACAGACTAACAAGTTCTCCGCGTTGCGGAATTCTAGTCTAGTTACAGTTGTAGTCTCGCGTCGCAAACCATCTAAAACTTTGTCATGCTATCGCTCTTTTTCCATCCTGCCGTTAGCAATTAAAGGCAGACACCCACTCGAGATTCGGTACACCAGATACGCCAAAATAAGCATTGTTTCGTTATTGGCAGTCGAGCTATGGCGGATTTTCCGCCGAGCGTTCCCGCGACTGGGACAAACGAAAGACCCCCACTTTTTCCGATCTTGCCGGTCGGTCAGACTCATAAGCAAGTTTCTGGTATTTCTGTATCATCTCAGGAAGGCGGATTCGCTGACGGAGGTGGTTTACAGTTCGGTAGAACGTCGGAGTCCGTTAACGTCCCAGTTAGCGTCTCGAATTCTCTGTTCCCGATTTCGGGTGCGTTCCCGCAAGAGAGGGCGTCTCGTGACGGTCCCGGTACCAGCCTGCCAGACTCTGATTGGCTGACGAATTCGTCGTTTTCCGCGAAGCTTCTCCCGGCTGCAGAGGCTGCTCGGCGCGCAGCAGTGGAAGCAGCAGCTCGGCGCGCAGCGGAAGGGCGCAGAGAAGGGGTTGAGGGAGAGCGGAGTGAGGGAGAAGATGAAGAGGAGGAAGAGGGCAGAGAGGAGGAAGCGGAGGGGGAATTAGATGGGGTGAGAGGGACGGGGAAACTGGTTGGTAGTGAACATAACGAAGGGGATGAGAGGGATGGAGCGCGGGGTGCTAGTGTATCTGAAAGCGAGGATAGTGAAGGTACAAGGAAGAAGAAGAAGAGAAGGGAGGAGAAGGGGAAGGACAGGAAGGAGAAGGGAAGGGAGAGGGAGGAGAAGCGGGAGAGAAAAAGCAAGAGCCGGCATGAGAAGAAAAGGAGAAAGAAGAGGAAGGGAGGGAAGGGAAGCTCGTCTAGTGACAGTTCCGGGAGTGACAGTACCGAAAGTGGTGACTCTAGTGAGAGTGAGAACGAAGAGGAGAGGAGGGAGAGGAGGAGGAGGCGGAGGAAGAGAAAGGAAGAGGAGAAGAGGAGGAGGAAGGGGAACAGAGAAGCGGAGAAAGTCCAAAGAATGGTAGCGGGGAGTGAGGGGAGGAGGCACGTAGGTGGGGCAGGCATGGGCATGGGAATGGGCATGGGGATGGGAATGGGCATGGGGATGGGCATGGGGATGGGCATGGGGATGGGCATGGGGATGGGCATGGGAATGGGGATGGGGATGGGGATGATGGGGATGGATGGGATGGCGGTGAGAGGAGGGGTGATAGGGGCCGGTGGTGCAGGGGGGAAGGAGTATGTGATCGATGCTAAGGGCGACAGGGATAACTACGCCTTTGGCTCTCTGTACCGGTGAGTGTGAGAGGTTACTGGTGGGACCATGCTATTGAAGCTAAGGGCGATCGGGAAAACTATGCCTTTGGCTCTCTGTACCGGTGAGTAGGAGAGGTTACTGGTGAGGTGAGAACATGCATGGAAGTGGGGAGGGGAATGAGGATGTGTGGGAGGGGGTTTTCAAGGGGTGGTCGGGCTGGTGGTGCAGGGGGGACAACTATGCCTTTGGCTCTCTGTACCGGTGAGTGTGAGAGGTTTACTGCTGAGGGAGGTTTACAGCTGTAGGTGAGAGGATTAGAGGGAGTGGTGTAGCTGTGAGAAAGGTGCAGGTGAAGGGAACGAAGTTGAGATGTACATAGTGGAATAAAGGTGAGACCATGTGTGGCAGCATGCAGGAAGGCATGCGTGCATGAGGGCATGCAGGAAGGCATGCGTGCATGAGGGCATGCAGGAAGGCATGCGTGCATGAGGGCATGCAGGAAGGCATGCAGGAAGGCATACGTGCATGAGGGCATGTGCATGAGGGCATGCAGGAAGGCATGCGTGCATGAGGGCATGCTTAAGAGTGCAATTTGTTCCAGTTAGGAAATATGTGTACATGGGAGCATGCATGGGAGGGATCCAAGCCCTCTCGTTCCTTTCTCTCCCCGGTTCTCCCGTCCCCTTACTTCCCTGTACTCCCTCCCTCCCCCTCCCTCCCCATTCTTCCCGACACACCACACATCAGGTTGAACATCGCTCGCTATATCGCCCATCCCACAGCCGCCACAGCAGCAACTGCCTCCGCCTCCTCCCCTTGGGCTCTCGCCTTTGGTGCTGCCGGTTCCCCCTCCCCCATCCCTGTCCTCCGCGCCCCTGCCTGGTCTGGCCTCAAACCCTCCAAGCACACAAGGAGCGTGGGAGGAGTGGGAAGTGGTGCTAAATGGTTGGAAGGTGCGGATCTAGGGTTTGGGATGCGGAGTTTGATGGAACCCGAGTGGGATACGGTTATGGGTTCTGTTAGTGCTGCTTTTGCTGCACAGGGGGGAGGGGGGGATGGGGGGGGAGCGGGGGAGGGGAAAGGTGGAAAGGGGGGGAGGCCGTCTGGGATTGGAGCTTCGGCAGCCAATCGGTATTGGTCGCCGTGGAATGCCGTTTCCGAACGGAGCAAGGAGGTTCGGAGGGTGCGGTTCGGCAAGGGGCAGGTGCGGGGAGGAGGGGAGGAGGAGGAGGACGGAGAAGCAGAGGAAGGGAGAGAGGGAGAGGAGAACAGTCGAAATATGCCTTCTAGCTCTGGTCTAGCTGCTGTTGATGCTGCTTCTGCTGCCGCTCCTGCTGCTCCCGGTGCTCCTAGCACCACCCTGGCATACAAAATCGGGAGATTCGCATCGGAAACAGACCCAGGGGCTGATGGGGAAGAAGATGACACGGACAGTTTCCTTCCCCTAGAACCTCCCACTCCCCCCATATCCTCCTCCACCACTGCCGTTCGCAAACTCACAGCCGCCGCTGCTGCGAGAAAGCAGCAGGGAGAAGAGAGGGGAGGGGTTGGTGAGGAGGGGGTGGAGGGTGTGGGAGGGAAGGAGGAGGGAGAGGAGGAGGAGGGGGAGACGTGGGATGAGTACGTGTTTCGCCGGACGAGGGAGTTCAATGAGGACACGCGGCGGCGCCCGCTGGACGAGCAGCTGTGGCTGCGGTTCGTCTCTTTCCAGGACGAGGCGGTGGCGGGCGGGGGGGGTGGACGGCACCGGGGGGGGTGCTGCGGCAGGTAGTGGAGAAGAAGGTTGCAGTGTTGGAACGAGCGCTTCAACACGTGGGGGAGAGCGAAGCGGTGATTTTGACGTATCTGCACACGTGCAGTGGCCGGTGAGTTTCATCCCCGCATCAGGTTGAGAAGAAGGCGGGGGTGGGCAGCACTGGGCGATGGGCGGGGGGGGTGGACGGCACCGGGCGATGGGCAGCGTTTTTGAGTCGACTCAAAAGCCGATGGGCGAGGGGGGTGGACGGCACCGGGCGATGGGCAGCGTTTTTGAGTCGACTCAAAAGCCGATGGGCGGGGGGGGTGGACGGCACCGGGCGATGGGCAGCGTTTTTGAGTCGACTCAAAAGTCGATGGGCGGGGGGGGTGGACGGCACCGGGCGATGGGCAGCGTTTTTGAGTCGACTCAAAAGCCGATGGGCGGGGGGGGTGGACGGCACCGGGCGATGGGCAGCGTTTTTGAGTCGACTCAAAAGCCGATGGGCGGGGGGGGTGGACGGCACCGGGTGGTGACCCATGCTGCGGCAGGTAGTGGAGAAGAAGGTGGCAGTGTTGGAGCGAGCACTGCAGCACGTGGGAGACAGTGAGGCAGTTGTGCTGACGTATCTTCACACATGCAGTGGCCGGTGAGTGGGTGTTCTGCTTTGCACCTTGTGGTGAGTGCGCTACTGGCGGTGGTGACCCATGCTGCGGCAGGTAGTGGAGAAGAAGGTGGCAGTGTTGGAGCGAGCACTGCAGCACGTGGGAGACAGTGAGGCAGTTGTGCTGACGTATCTTCACACATGCAGTGGCCGGTGAGTGGGTGTTCTGCTTTGCACCTTGTGGTGAGTGCGCTACTGGCGGTGGTGACCCATGCTGCGGCAGGTAGTGGAGAAGAAGGTGGCAGTGTTGGAGCGAGCACTGCAGCACGTGGGAGACAGTGAGGCAGTTGTGCTGACGTATCTTCACACATGCAGTGGCCGGTGAGTGGGTGTTCTGCTTTGCACCTTGTGGTGAGTGCGCTACTGGCGGTGGTGACCCATGCTGCGGCAGGTAGTGGAGAAGAAGGTGGCAGTGTTGGAGCGAGCACTGCAGCACGTGGGAGACAGTGAGGCAGTTGTGCTGACGTATCTTCACACATGCAGTGGCCGGTGAGTGGGTGTTCTGCTTTGCACCTTGTGGTGAGTGCGCTACTGGCGGTGGTGACCCATGCTGCGGCAGGTAGTGGAGAAGAAGGTGGCAGTGTTGGAGCGAGCACTGCAGCACGTGGGAGACAGTGAGGCAGTTGTGCTGACGTATCTTCACACATGCAGTGGCCGGTGAGTGGGTGTTCTGCTTTGCACCTTGTGGTGAGTGCGCTACTGGCGGTGGTGACCCATGCTGCGGCAGGTAGTGGAGAAGAAGGTGGCAGTGTTGGAGCGAGCACTGCAGCACGTGGGAGACAGTGAGGCAGTTGTGCTGACGTATCTTCACACATGCAGTGGCCGGTGAGTGGGTGTTCTGCTTTGCACCTTGTGGTGAGTGCGCTACTGGCGGTGGTGACCCATGCTGCGGCAGGTAGTGGAGAAGAAGGTGGCAGTGTTGGAGCGAGCACTGCAGCACGTGGGAGACAGTGAGGCAGTTGTGCTGACGTATCTTCACACATGCAGTGGCCGGTGAGTGGGTGTTCTGCTTTGCACCTTGTGGTGAGTGCGCTACTGGCGGTGGTGACCCATGCTGCGGCAGGTAGTGGAGAAGAAGGTGGCAGTGTTGGAGCGAGCACTGCAGCACGTGGGAGACAGTGAGGCAGTTGTGCTGACGTATCTTCACACATGCAGTGGCCGGTGAGTGGGTGTTCTGCTTTGCACCTTGTGGTGAGTGCGCTACTGGCGGTGGTGACCCATGCTGCGGCAGGTAGTGGAGAAGAAGGTGGCAGTGTTGGAGCGAGCACTGCAGCACGTGGGAGACAGTGAGGCAGTTGTGCTGACGTATCTTCACACATGCAGTGGCCGGTGAGTGGGTGTTCTGCTTTGCACCTTGTGGTGAGTGCGCTACTGGCGGTGGTGACCCATGCTGCGGCAGGTAGTGGAGAAGAAGGTGGCAGTGTTGGAGCGAGCACTGCAGCACGTGGGAGACAGTGAGGCAGTTGTGCTGACGTATCTTCACACATGCAGTGGCCGGTGAGTGGGTGTTCTGCTTTGCACCTTGTGGTGAGTGCGCTACTGGCGGTGGTGACCCATGCTGCGGCAGGTAGTGGAGAAGAAGGTGGCAGTGTTGGAGCGAGCACTGCAGCACGTGGGAGACAGTGAGGCAGTTGTGCTGACGTATCTTCACACATGCAGTGGCCGGTGAGTGGGTGTTCTGCTTTGCACCTTGTGGTGAGTGCGCTACTGGCGGTGGTGACCCATGCTGCGGCAGGTAGTGGAGAAGAAGGTGGCAGTGTTGGAGCGAGCACTGCAGCACGTGGGAGACAGTGAGGCAGTTGTGCTGACGTATCTTCACACATGCAGTGGCCGGTGAGTGGGTGTTCTGCTTTGCACCTTGTGGTGAGTGCGCTACTGGCGGTGGTGACCCATGCTGCGGCAGGTAGTGGAGAAGAAGGTGGCAGTGTTGGAGCGAGCACTGCAGCACGTGGGAGACAGTGAGGCAGTTGTGCTGACGTATCTTCACACATGCAGTGGCCGGTGAGTGGGTGTTCTGCTTTGCACCTTGTGGTGAGTGCGCTACTGGCGGTGGTGACCCATGCTGCGGCAGGTAGTGGAGAAGAAGGTGGCAGTGTTGGAGCGAGCACTGCAGCACGTGGGAGACAGTGAGGCAGTTGTGCTGACGTATCTTCACACATGCAGTGGCCGGTGAGTGGGTGTTCTGCTTTGCACCTTGTGGTGAGTGCGCTACTGGCGGTGGTGACCCATGCTGCGGCAGGTAGTGGAGAAGAAGGTGGCAGTGTTGGAGCGAGCACTGCAGCACGTGGGAGACAGTGAGGCAGTTGTGCTGACGTATCTTCACACATGCAGTGGCCGGTGAGTGGGTGTTCTGCTTTGCACCTTGTGGTGAGTGCGCTACTGGCGGTGGTGACCCATGCTGCGGCAGGTAGTGGAGAAGAAGGTGGCAGTGTTGGAGCGAGCACTGCAGCACGTGGGAGACAGTGAGGCAGTTGTGCTGACGTATCTTCACACATGCAGTGGCCGGTGAGTGGGTGTTCTGCTTTGCACCTTGTGGTGAGTGCGCTACTGGCGGTGGTGACCCATGCTGCGGCAGGTAGTGGAGAAGAAGGTGGCAGTGTTGGAGCGAGCACTGCAGCACGTGGGAGACAGTGAGGCAGTTGTGCTGACGTATCTTCACACATGCAGTGGCCGGTGAGTGGGTGTTCTGCTTTGCACCTTGTGGTGAGTGCGCTACTGGCGGTGGTGACCCATGCTGCGGCAGGTAGTGGAGAAGAAGGTGGCAGTGTTGGAGCGAGCACTGCAGCACGTGGGAGACAGTGAGGCAGTTGTGCTGACGTATCTTCACACATGCAGTGGCCGGTGAGTGGGTGTTCTGCTTTGCACCTTGTGGTGAGTGCGCTACTGGCGGTGGTGACCCATGCTGCGGCAGGTAGTGGAGAAGAAGGTGGCAGTGTTGGAGCGAGCACTGCAGCACGTGGGAGACAGTGAGGCAGTTGTGCTGACGTATCTTCACACATGCAGTGGCCGGTGAGTGGGTGTTCTGCTTTGCACCTTGTGGTGAGTGCGCTACTGGCGGTGGTGACCCATGCTGCGGCAGGTAGTGGAGAAGAAGGTGGCAGTGTTGGAGCGAGCACTGCAGCACGTGGGAGACAGTGAGGCAGTTGTGCTGACGTATCTTCACACATGCAGTGGCCGGTGAGTGGGTGTTCTGCTTTGCACCTTGTGGTGAGTGCGCTACTGGCGGTGGTGACCCATGCTGCGGCAGGTAGTGGAGAAGAAGGTGGCAGTGTTGGAGCGAGCACTGCAGCACGTGGGAGACAGTGAGGCAGTTGTGCTGACGTATCTTCACACATGCAGTGGCCGGTGAGTGGGTGTTCTGCTTTGCACCTTGTGGTGAGTGCGCTACTGGCGGTGGTGACCCATGCTGCGGCAGGTAGTGGAGAAGAAGGTGGCAGTGTTGGAGCGAGCACTGCAGCACGTGGGAGACAGTGAGGCAGTTGTGCTGACGTATCTTCACACATGCAGTGGCCGGTGAGTGGGTGTTCTGCTTTGCACCTTGTGGTGAGTGCGCTACTGGCGGTGGTGACCCATGCTGCGGCAGGTAGTGGAGAAGAAGGTGGCAGTGTTGGAGCGAGCACTGCAGCACGTGGGAGACAGTGAGGCAGTTGTGCTGACGTATCTTCACACATGCAGTGGCCGGTGAGTGGGTGTTCTGCTTTGCACCTTGTGGTGAGTGCGCTACTGGCGGTGGTGACCCATGCTGCGGCAGGTAGTGGAGAAGAAGGTGGCAGTGTTGGAGCGAGCACTGCAGCACGTGGGAGACAGTGAGGCAGTTGTGCTGACGTATCTTCACACATGCAGTGGCCGGTGAGTGGGTGTTCTGCTTTGCACCTTGTGGTGAGTGCGCTACTGGCGGTGGTGACCCATGCTGCGGCAGGTAGTGGAGAAGAAGGTGGCAGTGTTGGAGCGAGCACTGCAGCACGTGGGGGAGAGCGAGGCGGTAGTTTTGACATACCTGCATACGTGCAGTGGTCGGAGAGTTTCATCCCTCCATCAGGTAGCATGGGTGAATTAGAAAGTGACAGAGAAGAAAGTGACAGAGAAGAAAGTGACTGAGAAGAAGGTGGCAGTGTTGGAGCGAGCGCTGCAGCACGTGAGCAAGAGTGAGACGGTGGTTCTCACTTCACGTGCAGTGGCTGTTGAGTCGCTTTCTATGCAGTGGTTGCAGTGGGAGACAGTAAGGTGGTGATTCTCTTGACTTTTGAGTCGATTCAAAAGTCACCTCGTGGTGATTCACTTGTATCTGCACACAAACATCCCTCCCGTTCGCTCCCCTCTCGTTTTGAGGCGCCTCAAAAGTCTCCCGTCCCCTCCCCTCTCGTTTTGAAGCGCCTCAAAACTATCTGCACACACACATACCTCCCGTCCCCTCCCCTCTCCCCTCCCTCCACCCCACCCGCCCTTCCCCAGAGATGACGCCGCCACACTGGACGCCAAGTGGCGCAACGCCATTGGCCGCAGCCCTGGCAGTGGAGGGCCTTCTCCTTGTAACACTCCCGTCCCGGCTCCTACCCTCCCCCAACCCACTGTTTTCCCAGAGATGACCCCGCCACACTGGACGCCAAGTGGCGCAGCGCCATTGGCCACAGCCCTGGCAGAGCGAATCTCTGGAGGGGCTACATCCGGTGGCAGAGGGGGCAGTTCGCATCATTCACAGTGGGGAAGATCAGGGAAAGTTTTATTGCAGCGATACGTGCTCTGGTGGGACGGCGGAACCAGGTGTGGCGCGAGGTGAGCTTACAAGGCAGTGAGTGGGGCTACATGCGGTGGCAGAGGGGGCAATTTACGGGATTCACTGTGGGGAAGATTCGAGAGAACTAAATTGCAGCGATACGTGCTCTGGTGGGACGCAGGAACCAGGTGTGGCGCGAGGTGAGTGCACGGGGGTCAGTGGCAGGGGTCAATGGGAGGGGGTCAGTGAAAGGAAGGAGGTCTTTGGGAGGGGCAACGTCACGCCATACACAGGGCAGTGAGAGGGGGTACATCCAGTGGCAGAGGGGGCAGCTTGCTACCTTTTCGTATTGATTCTTCGCAACACTCTGTCCCCTCTCACATTCTTTTTACCCGATCTTACCCACTCTATCCATTCTTATCCATTCTTACCCTTTGCTACCTGTTCTTATTCATTCTTCCCATTTGCGCAGCTCCAACAGAAGCCTAACGATCCAATCAGAACCCGCCAGCTGGCGGCGTCAGAAATCGCAGCAGTGGACATGCTGCTGGACTCGTGCCGCTTCGAGCACCAATCAGGGCACGCTGAGCTGGCAGTCGCACTGCTGCAGGCCGAGACAGAATACGCCGTTCGGCCGCCGCCCCTGCCCTTGTCCTTTTCTGAGGGTAGCAAGTTGAGGCTGTTTCAGGCGTTTTGGGAGGGGGGAGGGGGGAGAGTGGGGGAGGAGGGGGGGATAGGGTGGTCTGCTTGGTTGGCGAGAGAAGAGGGGTATGGGGGAGGCCGTGGGGATGGTGAGGGGAAGGAGGATGAAGAGGAGGAAGAGGAAGAGGAGGAAGAGGAGGAGGAGAAGGGGGGGTGGACTGGATGGCATGAGATCGTGAGGAAGGGAGAGGGTGGGAGAGAGGAGGCAAAGGAGAAAGAGGAGGAGAATGGAGAGGAGGGAGAGAAACAAGGAAACAAGGAATCAAAAGCAGGGGAGGAGGAGGAGGAGGAAGACGAAGAGAAGAAAGAGAAAGAGGAGGGAGAAGATGAGGCTGAAGAGGAAGAGGAGGAAGAGGAGGACGAGGGTTTGCTAGAGGCAGAGCTGATGGAAAGGCTTAAAGCGGGAAAGGACGGAGCAGTGGGTGGTGGTGCTGCTGCCGGTGCTGCTGACGTGGCAGGCGAGGATTGGATGAAGGACCCGGGCGTGTGGCAGCGGTGGGCGGCAGAGGAGAGGAGGAGGGAGAGCAGGCAGTGGCAGCCAATGAGAGGTGAGACCTTGTGAGAATGAGCAGGCAGTGGCAGGGAGAGCAACTATTCTAGCTGGAATGAGAATGTGAGGAGTATGATGCTCATCCCATGCACTCCCCCCCTTTCCATGCATTTACTGCCCGTCCTCGCCCATGCCTTCACGAGCACCTACAGGAGGAGGAGTAGTCAGAGAGGGTGGTGGGGTGGAGTATGAGGATGTGAGGAGCAGACTCTTCACACTTTCATCCAACCATGCTGTTCCTCTTCCTTTTTCCCACAAGCCAACGGCAGGGAAAGGGAAGAGGCAGGAAGAGCAAGCAGCAGAGGAGGAGGAGGAGGAGGAGGAGGACGAGGAGGAGGAGCTGGAGAGGGGTGGTGGAGTATGAGGTTGTGAGGAACCGACATTTCTCTAACCTGCCCCTCGCCTTCCAATGCGTTCGACCTTTTCATGATTAGCAGCAGGGAAGGGGAGAAAGGTTGAAGAGGAGGAGGATGAAGAAGAGGAAGAGGAGGAGCTAGAGAGGGTGGTGGAGTATGAGGATGTGAGGAGCCGTCTCTCGTCCACCCCTCGCCTTCCTTCTCATGTGTTGATTGCCTTTTCCATCCAACAGGGAAGGGGAAAAGAAGTGAAGAGGAAGATGAAGATGAGGAGGAGCTAGAGAGGGTGGTGGAGTATGAGGATGTGAGGAGCCGCCTCTTCTCGCTGCACTCGGAAGCAGCGAAGCGGCACCTGCTGCTCGCTGCTGCTGCCTTCTTTGATGCGCCACTGCCTGCTTGGTGAGTGGCTGTAGTGGTGGATGGGTGGATGTGGGTGGGTGATGCGTGGTGGATCGGGGTAGCGGAGTATTGAGGTGACTTTTGAGTCGACTCAAAAGTTACCTCATGGGTGGTGGGTCGGTGTAGCGAAGTATTGCTAACGAGGTGAGCTTACTATCAGGGATGGCTGTTGAGGCGCCTCAAAAGCGATGCGTGGTGGAACGAAAGTTCATTTTCTTTTAAAGGAAAACGTGAGATGCTTATAAGAGAACACTCGCTGCCTCTTTCCCTACCACACACCAGGCGCAGCAGCAACGACAGCAGCTTCCTGGAAGCCTCAGAATCTTTGGTCTGCATTCCACGATTCATCACAGCCCCCTACCAAGTCTCAAGCATTCCTCCCAAATCTTGTGGTGGTGCCAGTGGTGGGTGGGGTGTTGGTGTTGCTACTGCTGCTGCAGGGGCAGGAGCAGGAGAAACGGCAGGGGCAGCGGCAGCGGGAGCAGAAGTGGCAGTAGCAGAGCTAGGGGAGGAGGAAGAGGAGCAAGGGAACTTGGCCCGCGGTGCTGCTGTGTTAGATGCTCTTGCAGGAGGTCCTATGTGGTTCGACGCATGGGGGGATGAAGGGCAAAGGAGGGGAAGGGGAGGAGATGGGGATGGGGACGGGGAAGGGGAGGAGGAAGAGGATGGGGGGATGGAGAGGGTGCGGTTTCTGCGCAACTTCCTGGAACTTGCGTGCCAGTGGGTTCCGGATGATAAGCACCTGCAGGAGGCCCTGGTGGTGACGTCAGCTGCTGCTGTAGCCGCTACAGCCGCTGCTTCAGCCGCTGCTACAGTTGCTGCTACAGTTGCTGCTACAGTTGCTGCTACAGTCCCCAGTGCATGCCCACTGCCTCCCCTCTTGCCCCTTGCTTCTAGCAAAGGCCCTGCTACAGCCGGCGCTGCTATAGTTGGGACTGCTACAGCCGTGGATGGTGGAGGACCAGGGAAGAGGAGAGGGGGCACAGCCGCTGCCATACAAGCCGTGCTGGAGCGAGCAAGGGGCAGAGAGGCTGATGCCATGCACTCTGCTACAGATGCTGCTGCTTCTGCTTCTGCTGTAGATTGTCAGCCAGCAGTGTTGGAACCACACCTGCTCCTGGGCCATCCTGATTGTCCGATGGCTAGCTCCTGCTTCAGCCAATCAACAGCAGGATCAGCACGACCAGCAGCAGGACGCGACGAGTCAGGAACCGCTAAGGCGGTGAGAGCAGCCAAGGCGGAGGTGAAGAGGCTATTGAAGACGCGGCGGCAGGACCTGGGTCTGTGGGCTGCCTATGCCCGGCTGGAAGCGGAGAGCGGCAATCTGGATGCTTCTAGGAAGGTTCTCGATACAGCACTGGCGTCCGTTGCTGCTCTCCCCAAGGTATGTTCTCTCTCCCGAAGCAGTATGCGATCAGGCAGCAATAGGGATCAGCACCAACTCATATGGTGCCTGCAGCAAAGGGAGGGGTGAAGAGGCGGAGGTGAAGAGTCTGTTAAAGACGAGGCGGCAGGACCTGGGTCTGTGGGCTGTGTATGCACAGCTGGAGGCTGAGAGCGGCAACCCGGATGCTTCCAGGAAGGTTCCCGACACGGCACTGGCATCCGTTGCTGCTCTTCCCAAGGTATGTCGGCCCCCTCTAAGCAAGATGGAATTAGGCAGCAGCAATAGGGATCAGCACCAACTCATATGGTGCCTGCAGCAAAGGGAGGGGTGAAGATGCGGAGGTGAAGAGGCTATTAAAGACGAGGCGGCAGGACCTGGGTCTGTGGGCTGTGTATGCCCGGATGGAAGCGGAGAGCGGCAACACGGATGCTTCCAGGAAGGTTCTCGACACGGCACTGGCGTCCGTTGCTGCTCTCCCCAAGGTCTGTTGTCAGGAAGGTCATCTCAGCGAGACGCCGTGTTTTGAGACGTCTCAAAACATGTCAGCGAGATGTCTCAAACGTTTCCGGTCATTGCTGAAGTTATCTCTGGCCATTATACCTTTGACTCTTCGTACTGAGTTTCTTGACTTATTTGACTTCCTTGACCTTTTTTAAGATGTGTGTTGATTCAAGTCTCCCCAACAACTGTTCTAAACAACTGTTCTATCACGTGAGTCGAGTTTTGAGTCGACTAAAAACGGTAATCGGGGAGTTGTTTGGAGACGTCTCAAAACAACTGATCTATCACGTGGCTTTCCCTGCTCGTGTGAGACGCCTTGGCATGCTTCACGTCCGAACCCGTTCTATCCTCCTGCCTGCTCATCTGCGTCTGAGTCGACTCAAAAGCAGGCTCAAACGCTGCTCTTGTGAGTCGCCTTGGAAGAGAGACGTGGCAGCAGTGCCTCCTTGCTTCACATCGAATCCCGTTCTATCTTCCTGCCCATCTTCTTGCCCTCCCGCACCCGCATCACTGCCCCCATGTTCCTACTATTTCAGTCAGCCACTGCAGCCGCACCTCTCCTTTTGCTCGCATATACGCGCACATCAAGCAGTACCCCCCTCCCCTTGACTCCTTGCGACCCCCCTGTCCCCCTGGTCTTTCCTCTCTCCGTCTCCCCTGCTCCCGACCCAACTCTGCTCCCAATCCACCCCTTTTTACCCCTCTCCACCCCTCTCCACCCCTCTCCACCTCTCTCCACCCTTGCTCCTTGCATGCTCCTCAATTCTTGAGTCGGCATCTGAAACCGCGCCTCTCCTTTTGTTCACATATACGTGAAGGAGGGTATATGTGCACATCAAGCTATCCCCTCCTCCCCTGCTCCTCATCCACCCCTGCATGTTTCCCATACTCCGTGAGGTCCGCAGCTGAAGCCACACCTCTCCTTGTTCTCGCATACACCCACATCGGCTATCCCGCACTGACGTTTCCCAACCCCTCTCTCCCCCATCTCCTCTGCTCCACGTCTGCCCCTCGATGTTCCCATACTCCCAGCAGTCACCAGCTGAAGCCACACCTTTCCTAGTTCTTGCATACACCCACATTGAGCTTTCCTCAACCAATCACTCTGCCAACCAACACCAGCGTCCCCAGCAGCAGCGGCAAGGGCGGCAGAAGAGCAGAAAAGGCCATCTGAACTGGTCGATCAACCAACACTGGTGTTCCCTCCACACTCTCGCTTCCTTCGCCGCATCTGCCCCTTTTTCTGCCCCCTCCCCACTCCCGCCGCAATTTGACCCATCTGGGCCGAAAGGAAGTGGGCGAAACACTAGCTCCTCCTCTTCCTGGGCAGCTTGTGAATATTTTCCTCAAGCTGCCCTGATACGCGCTCGGGCAGGGTTCCACTTGAAGCTGCAAGAAGCAAAGAAAGTCATTGCGGCCTCGGCTGCTGCTGCTTCAGCCACAGCAGCAGCTGCTGCTGCTGCAGCGTCTTCTGCTCCTTCTACCAACCCCTCTGCTGCTCCCTCTGCTACCACCGCCACCATGAGCAGCAGCAGCATCAGCCTGAGCAGCGGGGGGCTATTACAGGATGATGATAACATGGACAGCATGAGAGCAACGGCAGCGGTGGCGGTGGTGCTGTGTGCGTGTCTGTTTGAACTCTTGGCAGCGCCATCCCTCCCTGAAGGGGTTGCAGCCGCTGCTGCGGTGATGGATGGGTGCATTGCTGCTGTGCTGCCTGGCCGCCGTGCCTGCTGTCTGCCGCTGGAGCTGCTGTTCGAGAGATATGCCTCGCTGCTGCTGCACGCTCTACCAGGTAACACCGGCTTAATCCTTTCCTTTTTTCTCCCCTCAACCATCTTTCCCCCCCTTACTCCCCCCTCCAAGCACACAGCCAACCAGCAACAGTATGTGCGTGAATGGTGCTTCATTCAAGTTCCCTTCCTTCCCCTCCTTCCCCCTCAAACCCCACCCTTCTCCACCTGCCTTTCACTTCTCCTTCCTCCTCCCTTCCAGCCATCCCACCACAGCAGGTGCGGAGAGTGGTGCTGCAGGGTTTGAAGGAGTTCCCCAGCAACGTGCACCTTCTCGGAACCTTCCTGCGGCTGGAGTCACGCAGTGCGTTCACCAACAGCATCCGGCGCTTCTTTGACCAAACCACCGCCAGGTCAGCTACGCCACGTCAGCAGCAGCGCCACGGTTGTCTAGGTTGCATTCTACATGCATTCTGGCTAGGTTGCTGTGTCAGTATGTCTGTAGAATGCATGAGTGGTTTTCTATCTACCTATGGTTAGCCTTCTCAATTCTTCTCCCTGCTCTGGACATACGTTCCAGAGTGTTTTTGAGAATTCCCAAGAACACCCTGCAATGGCTTGTAGACCATTTGCAACTCTCATCCTTTTGAGAAGTCTCAAAAGTCGTCTCATGATACATCTCAAAAGGCTTGTAGGCCATTTACGACTCTCTTCCCTACCAGCCTTCCTACCTTGGAAGCCACACTACCTTGGGGTCTAGGACATGCGGCGTTCCAACCACCCTATTCCCCCCTCCCATACAGGCTGTCCCACCGCTCACCACTCCTCTGGTTGCTCTTTCTCCTGTTGAAAGTCAAGAACCTCAAAACGTCGGACCCTCCACCTTCTATCCCCAACTACCCTCTCCCTCCCCTGCAGACTCTCCCACCCCTCGCCACTCCTCTGGCTGCTCAGTCTCCTGGTTGAGTCGTTATGTACCTCAAAACATCCAACCCACCAACCACTGTCACCAACTGTCGTCTCCCTCCCCGCCAGGCTGTCGCAACCCTCACCACTCCTCTGCTTGCTCAGTCTCCTGGTTGAAAGACAAGGCGCCTCAAAACATCTGCCCACCACTGTACCCTCCCCCGCTTCCAGACTATCCCACCCCTCACCACTCCTGTGGCTGCTCAGTCTCCTGGTTGAGGTGGCACGGCCAGGGGCCCGTCCACGTGTGCGCGGCTTACTGGAGCGGGCGCTTGCCAGCTCAGCAAAGGGGAGTGGGCAATGTGTGCTGATGTGGCGGCTGTACATTGGCTATGAGCTCCACATCAGCCGGAATGTTGATGCTGCGCGAAGAGTGTTTTTCAGGGCCATCCATGCGTGTCCCTGGTGGGTTGGCTATAGAAATGTTTTATTTCCGGTATGCTTCTCATTTTGATGCCTTGTCCTCCCTGCGCACAAAAGTGATGCCATGTGCGACTATACTGATGCTTTCTGGTATTGCTGGATTCTCATTGCAGGTCGAAGGCCTTGTGGTTGGATGCTTTCACACAACTCCATGGGGTGATCAAAGGAGAGGAGCTGAACGAGCTTGCCAACATGATGAGGGATAAAGAGCTGCGGCTGCGCACTGATGTCTACGAGATCTTGCTTCAAGATGCCCAATAAGATCGGCAGTCCATGCGTTATGTGTGTAAAAGCCGGTCAACTGTTAACATATTTTCATTTTCGTTTTCGCTGTGTAACGTTTTTCATCAATAGCTTGGTTACTGAGTGCCAGGTGGAGGATTCTTGGCTGCCAGCGGGGTGTCCAAGGATTTACATTGGCGTATGGCAGGCGATGCTGCTGAGCGCTAAATCTGGCTTTCCACGTGTGACATTGCCACGTGGGAGCGTTGTTCCTTTGCATGCGGTTCGTGCTCACCCCAAGCAGCACATTTTTCGTTGCACGTCAAAGCATGTTTGGCTCTTGCATTTCTTGCACGACCTTATGTGCCCGCATTCTGGTAACTGATACTCCTGGATCGTCATAATTCGTTTTTTTGTCGCTGGGGGAGTCCGACCGAGCGTAAGTATCTCACAAGTGCCCGGATTCGCTTTTCGCTAAGTTCGTTATGCGAGAGTCAAGCCAGCTGACCTCATCTACGCCCTCGAGTTGGTCAGCTTCATGTTCGCCAGAAAACACCAGAAATTCGCGTTCTGCAGCTGTTTTCCTTGTAGCACCTTGTCCGACTAAACATTGTTGATCAGGAATATGGCGTCCGCCGTTCTTTCCCTGACCACATACTCTCCGCTTCTAGCGACGAGGGTCACATGCAGACGGAATGCGGTTCAGAAGACATTGAGACAACGACCACTCTTCGTCGCGTCAGCAGTGCAATCCACGAAACGCACGCCTGTCGCTGAGCCTGAGAATGTCGCTCGCGTAACGGCAGACCCCGCCGTGCGATCGACGGCAGCAGCGGTCTTCACGTCGCTCGCGACGTTTTTCTCCCCGGCGCTCCCCGTCCTTGCGGAGGAGGCGGCCGTTGATGCCGCTGCTGACGCCGCAGCAGCGGCTCCGGACTGGCTCGGCTACGTGCTGCTCGCGATTCCGCTGGTGGCTTATGGCGGATTCTACTTTTTCCGAGCTGCGGTGAGTTCCTTTTTTCCCGCGTTTACAATCTTCACTTAATGGGGTGAGTTCAATTCGACCACTGAGCTGGTTCAATGCAAGTTGGATCAAGCAATGTGCCGTAATCTGGAACGGATGTTGTTTATTTAGTACGCCAGTTATCCCCAATGTCACGCTAGTTACCACGGAATATCAACCTGTATATACGGAAACCTAATGAAAGTACACTCGAAAATTTGTACACCAGGTCTTTTTGTCAGGAAACTATGAATACATGTGTTTTTCTAAAAGCATGGCGTCTGCGTGTTCGTCACCGTGATTTCAGGTGAACCCCAAGGCGGGTCTCTTGGACTATGCGTTCGTTCTCGTGGCAACGGTCATTGTCGCCAATATCCTGACCACGCTCTTCCTTAAGGTACAGTAAGTCCGCGTTATTAGAACAGCTTGGTCTCTTGGACTATGCGTTCGTTCTCGTGGCAACCGTCATTGTAGCCAATATCCTGGCCACGATCTTCGTTAAAGGTACAGCAAATTCGTGATTTAAGATCAAGGATTTGCGTTCATTGGTCCGTCCGTCCGTCCATCCATCCATCCATCCATCCATCCATCCATCCATCCATCCATCCATCCATCCATCCATCCATCCATCCATCCATCCATCCATCCATCCATCCATCCATCCATCCATCCATCCATCCATCCATCCATCCATCCATCCATCCATCCATCCATCCATCCATCCATCCATCCATCCGTCCGTCCGTCCGTCCGTCCGTCCGTCCGTCCGTCCGTCCGTCCATGTATCCGTCTGTCCAGCCTCATGCTTCATCACAAACCGCATTTGCCCAAATTCCCACACAGTTGTCAATAATTCACAACCTAACCCATTACAAGAACTGAGTCAAATCCTTGAGTCTCATTCGCTAGTGTACACATGCATATGTCCTTGAAATGGACCACATTGCTTGTTCCATTCCAATATGGAAGTTCGTTGCAATGCCACCCACCAGTCATTCTACTCAATGGCTCTTTCTCTCTCCTTCCCTCTCTTTCACATACCTTTTTCACATTTGTTCCTGCTTTTCTCCCACCTCCCGCCCCCATCCCATTCGCCCTTCGTCCTAACCCCCGGCGCACATGCTAATCCCATTCCTTCTCGCTTCTTTTCTTCTCTCGTTCTCTCCTGGCAGGTCCGCCTCTACTAGCTCTTGTGGAGTTCAAGTGTCCATGCCTTGATCCACAAACAAACAAACAGAAGCATCTCCATCTGCTACAAGCACCGACTGTGATAGAAATGATTTGAGTAAACCTAGTCTTTGCATAGATAGATGGTGGGGAAGGCATAGCCTGTATATCCAGCAGCCTGTTGTGTGTGCAATTTACAGTCAATCAAGCTTACTCCCTGAAACATTTGTGTCAGTCACTCCCCTTCCTGAACATGCCATGCATGCACATGCGCTTCATCTCTCTGCCTCCAGTTCTCATTCCGTACACTTCAGAACTCCACCTCCTCGCACTCAAATTCAGCAGCACCCATCAGCATCCCTGTCCCTCGCGCATCTCATACCAGTATCAACTTCGGTGTCACCTACCCCACCTTTCTGAACACACCATGCACCCACACGCGCTTCATCTCCCTGCCCTTCCTCCTATTCTCATTCCGCACACAACAATACTCCACCTCCTCGCACTCAAACCCAGCAGCACCCATCAACACCCGCACCTCTTCCACTGAAAAGAAGTACGCTAGGGTGCCGTCCCCCCGCTCATATAACCGGTCACTGGCACAGCTCAGGTTACCATGATTCGCCCTATTCTGAGTCTTCTCGTGCCAGATATGCTGTGCTGTTCCTTCTCTCCGCTGCCTCTCCCTTCTTTGGCACATTATTTCCTCGCCCTCCCTCTCCTGTTGCTTGTTCAATTGTTGCTGACATAGCCTCGGCTCCTGCAGTCCTTCCTGCTGGATCCTCTGCTGCTCTTGCTGCTCCTGCTCTTGTTCCTGCTCTTGCTCCTGCTGCTGCTGTTGCTGCACCAGCTTCTCCTGCTGCTGCTGCTGCTGTTGCTGCTGCACCTTTTGCTCATGCAACCGGAACATGACCATATCAAACACGCCATAGTCCCTGAACAGCAGCAGCCCTCCAGGGGCTAACACAGAGCGTATCTGCCTCAGTGCATGCAACATGTGATCCGGGTGCAGCGCCGACAGAGTGAAGATGCACAACGCCGCCCGGAATTCTGGAGGAGAGGGTCTAGCTGTGGGCGGCACGGAGACCAGTGCAGATTCGTTGAATCCGGACGGGGGAGCTGGGCTGGGGGATGCTTGCATAGGAGAAAATTCGCTGGATACGCCAGATTCGCCGGATGTAGGCACTGCAGGGGGTTCACTCACGCCAGGTGCAGTGAATCTGGACGCCAGGGCAGCGTGAAGGTCCCCCTGTGCCACGTCACACACAAACCCTCGGAAGCGGTGTGTGGCTGTGTGCTCCCCCAGTGCGTGAGAGAGTGTGTGGGTTGTGAGGGAGACGGCAGTAGGGCTGATGTCACATGCTGCTAGGCAAACTCGAGTGGTGGCTCTGGGGGGGAAGAAAGGGGGCCAGGAGGCGAAATGAGGAAGGCAGTAAGGCAAACAGACACGCTGTGAGAGAGACGGCCGTGGAGCTGATGTCACATGCTGCTAGGAAGACTCGAGTGATGGCTCTGGGAGGAAAGGAAACGGGAGGTGGGACACGAAGAGAGGAAAGAAATGAGGCAAGGAGAGAAGAGGGAGAGACGGCCGTGGGGCTGATATCACACCCTGCTAGACAGACTCGAGTGGTGGCTCCGGGAGGAAAAAGGGGGGTAGGACAAGCAGCACTGTCGGTTTCAAGTTAGGAGGTTTTAATGCTGAAGACTCAACTCTCCACTCTCTAGGGGTCTTGTGATACAACTCAAATGTCCTCTACGACCTCCGCTCTTCACACTCAGACACCACAGGTGATGAGGTGATTCTTGAGTTGAAACTAAAAGGATCCTAACGAACCACTCACCGCAGAATGGCTAGTGCAGAGCTGCCACTGCCACACCCCACTTCCAGAATCCATGGCGGATGGCAAGATGGGGTGGACGGGGATGCTGACGTGGGGTCATGGCATGGTGGGGAACAGGACGCTGCTGGTATGATGCACTCTCCCCTTCCCGCTGCTTCAGCAGCATCTGTTGCCACGCGATCTCCTAACTGTGCTTGTATCGGATCATGCTCCTGTACTGAGTGTGACTCTAACGAGAGGATCTGAGGGAACGCGTGCAGCAGGTATCGCCGCTCCTTGAAGAACTGGGCCGTCCGATGCTGCTGATGAAACCCATCCCAAGCCACCGAGATAGGTCCGGCATCACCGGACCTGGCAACCAAGTCTTGAGGATCTACAGAGGACGAATTTGTCTCGTCCTGTTTCCGCCGCTGCCGGTCCTGCCGACGATGCTGCTGATGTTGATGCTGCTGCTGGTGCTGCCGTGCCTGCTGCTTCCGCCGTTGCTTTTCGTTGCTACCACCCTTCACATTCACACTTCCTACAGACGACTCCGAACTCCCGTTGTCAGATGTCTCAATACCCCTACCGGAACAACATTCTGTGCATTGTCCGACAATCGCTTCTTGATCTCGCCGTTCAGATGCCGGGATGCTAAGGGTGATACAATCCAACGGTCCAAATGTTTCTTCCCACTCGAGCCGCACCTCCTCCCACTCGAAATCGCGGCTGTGGTACTCGCCTGCTACCGGCTTCTTCGAATCTTCGCGCGACGAGTGCATCGCAGAATAGCCCATGCATAAGTGATGGAGCGTGGCATACGCTACTATCTTTCAGCGGCATCAGCGGCTGGTTGCGATGCGGTATGCGCTTATGAAGTGCTTGATTGCAAATTGCAAAAATAACAAATTCAAATGCGGTAAGGACGTTTCCCTCCGAAAGTTCTAAATGGATGTGCATGTTTGCTGATAATGATTTGGCATTGTGTGGGAATACACTTGAGGAAAGCAAATGGATGAACCAACCAATGATTATAATTATTATATAATATTTCTATATTTTTCTACAAAAAAACTCAATTCGAACAATCAATGTTGCTTATTTTAGCCTAGATTCTAGCCACAAACGTATAACTAAAATGTCTGTGAAGGAAAAGCCGGCAACTGATTCCCCGCCCTCAATAGCCCCTGGCCCAGCATCTGTTGGAGCTGCTGCTGCTGCTGCTGCTGCTGTTGCTGCAGCCGCAACAACATAGAATTATCTATCAAATCTCCATCGCTCCTTCTCATGTTTCCCCCCACACCACTAGTGAAACCACCACCTCCACCAACCCTCCTACCACCATTGACCTCCCCGCGATAAACACTTCCTTCTTCGGCACTCCTGGCCCTCCTCTCATTCGCCTGGCTTGAGCAAATTCCTCTCCCTTCTGATGAATCACCACTTGACTTGTGTACCTGCCCACTGTAGCTGTGACCATGCTGGTACTTCCGTTGTTGCTGTTGCTGCTGCTGCTGCTGTTGCTGCTGTTGCTGCTGTTGCTGCTGCTGCTGTAAAATAACTTCTCCATTCACACTGGCGCAAGTGCTTGTGCTCATTGTCCTGGCTATACTCTTTACAGAAGCACTCATTACCACATCCTCAAGCCCTCCCAACTGTCCCCATTCCCCTGCTTCCTCCATCACAGCATCTCCCCCGTTCTTCACATGTGAGATGGACGGTCCAGATGCTACCGCAGTTGCCAAGTGTCCTAATCCCGCAGCAGAGGGAATTGGTGGTTTAGGATATTGACATTTCCCTTGCATCTGCAATTGCCCTTGCTGCTGTAGCTGCCCTTGCTGTAACTGCCCTTGCTGCTGCCCTTGCTGTAACTGCCCTTGCTGTAACTGCCCTTGCTGCAGCTGCCCTTCATGTATCTGCCCTTGCTGCTTCCTTTGCTGCTGCTGCCATTGCTGCTGCACCGCCTGGTACAACTGTTGCATCTGCTGCGTCTGCTGCAGCTGCTGTCCCTGTCCCTGTCCCTGCCCCTGCCCCTGCGCCTGCCCCTGCCCATGCTGCCCCTGCCCCTGCCCCTGCCCCTGCCCCTGCCCCTGCCCCTGCCCCTGCCCCTGCCCCTGCTCCTGCCCCTGCCCCTGCCCCTGCCCGTGCTGCCCCTGCCTCAACAGTTGCTGCAGCAGCAGCGCTGCTCCCCTCTGTTGAAGAGCCCTCGCTACAGTCACTGCATCCCCAGAAGCACCTGCAGCAGCAGGAGAAGCAGCAGCGGCGGCGGCGACAAGTGGGGGCGAAGAGGAAGCCGTGGCAAGCAGAGAGGCAAGCAGAGCTGTGTTCATATCCATGCCCGGCTTGCCAGGAGAGACCTGAGGCAGATTTGGCACCTGAGGCACCTGACCAAGCACCTGAGGCGCCTGAAGCACCGCCTGGGCCACCTGAGCAAACACCTGAGCTGCGTTGGCCTTGATTTGAGGCGGAATGGGAGCGTTGGCGCCATTGATAAAAGGGTTACCACTATTAGAAGCAGGAGTAGCAGGAGGGGAAGCAGCAGAAGCAGCAGGAGAAGTAGCAGGAGCTGTAGCAGCAGCAGATGTAGCAGGAGCAGCAGCAGCAGACGTACAGAGCCCTGCAAACCCTCCAAATGGGAGCTTCACCTGTAGCGGCTGCTGTTGTTGCTGCTGCTGCTGCTGCTGTTGTTGCTGCTGCTGCTGCTGCTGTTGCTGTTGCTGTTGCTGTTGCTGCTGAAGTGTGGGTGCATGTGCCTGTGCCTGTGCGTGTACCTGTGCCTTGATTCGTGCTTGTGCCTGCATTTGTGCCTGCAGTTGTTGCAATAGGCCCAAAGAAACCGCCACCTGCTGCTGCTGACTCTCCTGTCCCTGCTGCAGTTGCTGGCCCCCTGTCACTCCCACGCAAGAAGCCTCACCAGCAGCCAAACCTGCACACAGACCTGGCTCCGAACCTGCTGACACAGCTCCCGCCGAGGCAACTGCCGAGGCAGCTCCCGAGGCTGCCGCCGAGGCTGCGATGACCGAGGCAAGAGCAACGGGCGGAACTCCCGAGTCTGTGGTGGCAGCAGCGGCGAGGGCTCTGAGTAGCAGTTGCTGCTTGGGGTTGCTTGGGTTGCTGAGCATCTGCCTCTGCTGCAGCAGTCGATTCAACGCCACTGCTGCTGCCATTTGCTGGTTCACACCTGCTGTGCCCCTCTTTCCCCCGACTAAGCCTGCTGCTGCTGCTGCTGCTGCTGCTGCTGCCACTGCTGCTGCTGCTGCCGCTGCTGGTGCTGCTGCTGGTGCTGCTGGTGCTGCTGCTGGTGCTGCTGGTGCTGCTATTGCTGCTTCTCCTCTTTCCCCCATCACCGCCCCTCCCTCCTCAACCGCCTCTCCTCTCTCCCCCCCTCTCCCATCCCCGGAAGGGGGAGCGGCGCGGAGCAACGGCTGTGGGGGGCGGAATGGGGGAAGCTTGAGGAGCGGACTGGGGGAGGTGGAGGGGGAGGAAGTGGGAACCAATGGGGAGGGGTTTCCCGGTGTGTGGGGGGGAGGTGGTGAGGAAGCGGGAAATCTCACACCAGAATTTGGGTCAACGATACCCGCAGAAACATCTGTTACAGCCTCACAGGGTGTAGCAGTGGGATTGGCGATGCCCATGCCCTCCCTAACTGCACAATCTGACGAGTCTTCACACAGGGTGACTACATCGAAGGGCGCGTCTAACGGGAGATCTGCGAACAAATCTTCCGGAAGATCTGGGAGAAAATCTGCGGACGAGATTCCCGAGATCTCGTCCAGATTCGCATCCGACAGGACGATCGGCAGATCAAGACCCTCCATTTGCGTCAGATCGAACGTATCCAGCTCGTCCGGCTCTCCCGCATCATCCATCCTTTCGTTACAATCCGCATCCGCAGCTCTCTCCTCCCCTCCTGTAACGGGACTGCAAAAATCTCCCGTTTTAGTCACATCTTCGCAGTGATGAACATCCACCATTGTCCCCTCGGTTACAAGAACAACCTTCGAATCGCCCTCCTCCAACCCATTCACCAGACTCGCTAGATCCACATCCGCTTGTTCCAATAACGCGGGCATACCTTCCGCTTCGCCCGCGCTTTTATCACCACCGCGTAAAGCCAATACTTTTCCGTTTCTTTCACCAGCCAACTCGTCGCGAACCTGTTCCGACCGCATCCAATCACGATCCGTCCCGTTTCCTCCGCCACCATTGTTAGAGCAATAGCTTTGCCCCTCTAACGAGCAGTTCGGTATATTTCTTCCTGCCCGTCCCTCCGTTCCCTGACTTCCGCACCAATTCCCAGCCTCGGCGACTGTTCTTGTATCGAGAGGAGCAGAAGTCGCGTGAAGAGCCGTCGGCGCGGCTCCCGTTGCTGGGGGTTTCCCAAGCCCTCGCGAAGGAGAAATAACCGTCGCCGTCAGATCTGACGGCCGCTTCAAGCCCGCAAACCTTCTACCCGTTTCCATCTGATTGCCGCTGTTTCCGCGTTGTAGCAACGCCCCGACAGGAGCTGTGGTCGGCGCGAGCGGAGGCGGCGCGATATCATGAGCGTATACTTTGGAGGTCTGAGCGCCGTCGCGGGAGGGCTCGGTGCGGCAGAAGGACGAGGCGGCGCCACCGCCGAAGACGCCGCCGGAAGCGGAAACGGAAATGTGAGCGGAAACGGAAACCGGAGGAGACGCGGAGCCGCGCGTTGCGGAGGGGGCAGGCGCGGAGGCGGCAGGAGCAAATGCGTTGCGCGGAAGTTGACTCGCCCCGGCGGCGGCGGCGGCGGAACCCTCTCCGCACGCTTGCGCGAAGATCTCTGGCGGAGAGGGGTGTGGCGGATGTAACAGCTCTGGCGGATAGTCTGCCGGGAACATGATGTTAGCGCGGATGCTATTTCTGTCGGCGGACCAATCACGCACGAGCATCTGCGGTCTCTCCCTCTCCGCCCCGACGGTGGAGCATCGGCGGAGCGCGGAAGCGGCGGAAACGGCGGAATCCGCCGCGAATGGGCTGTTGGAGGGGGAGTCGAACGCGCTGAAGCCGCCAAAATTTCCAGCAGACATCCCGAAAAGCGCGGCTGAAGTTCCGTTGATAATGGGAGATGCGGATGGGCTGAGGCGGCCCGGCGTAGACACGCCGCCGCTAGAGGCGCTTCCGCGAATCGACGAACCCGCCGTGTTTGCGCGCTGCAGGTGGCGCGAGCGGCCCGCGAGACCCGCCGCGCCGGTCGCAGGGGAACGTCGGAATGATGGGGGGAGCGGAGCGCAGAGGCCTTGCGCGAACTGTAAAGGGGCGTTTCCGTTTCCCCCCATAGAGAATTCATTGGCGGGGGAGGGCGGTTGTGCGAAAGTGTGCGCGGGGCCCTGCGCGGAGGAATGAGCGGGGGATTGCGGAGGGGCGTAAGCGGAGGAGTGAGCCGGGGATTGCGCGGGAGGGGTATGAGAGGGGCCGCGGAACGTGCGGGATGCGGATGGTAATCGCGGGGGAAGCGGGCACAGCAAGTGATTCTGTGACGTGGAGGTATGCGAAACGGCAAGAGCGCCTCCTGCTGCTATTGGCCCCTGATTGCGTGATGCCGCGTGCTGCGCGGCGCGCGCGTCGGGCTTTTCTTGCAGATGCGGCGGCGTCGGCGGAAACGGCGGAGGCGTTATCAGAGCGGCTCGAGGGTCTTGCAAGGGCGATGGCGGCGGCGGAAGGAGGTCGGGGCGTAATCGCTTGTACGACATCATGTCGAGCATCTCCATTGCGATAGTATAACAGCTCGATAGTATCACGGTCACTACTCAGTAAATCACCCCTCAAATACTCGAATCGCTTGTACTAAGCTGGTCTAAGGGTTTCCCGAACAGCGGTTCCGCACGCGACATTAACTCGTGCTCGAAAGTCGTAACTTCTCTTCGTTCCGAAAATGCGTTTCCAGGACGTCGGAGACTCTGCTTGACAACGCGCTGCGTACTATGACCGATGCAAACGGTCTACTTCACTTAGGGGCAGTTCCTGCGCGATACTTAGGAAAAAAACTCCCACTCCCACGTGGCACGTCCACGGATCGTTCGCCTCGCTCGCCTCACCGCAGATGTCAGAAAGAAATGGAAGGTGGCGATATGCAATGAAAACGCGAGCAGCTCGAGATGACGTGTGACCTTGCATGGCGGTGGACTTCGGCCAATCTCATCTGCGTTTCTGTGCTCACGCGATGTACGATCGTGCAACGTGTGAGAAAAAAAAACATCACTCGCCCTCCCCATTTCCCGCTTATCCATAGGGGTGATACATCCCTCCGGTCCCAGTTTCGTTCCAGTACGAGATGACATATCATCATGCACCATGCCTATCTTGCTCCTGATATTCTCAAGCTGGCTTACGCGTCGTGCAAGCTCATGCACTGTGCATCTAGCCCTGTGCAGACTGGCGATGATGCAGTCGTGGTAGGAACGATGCAGGCACCGACAGGCGATCCCAGCAACCTGGCTGTGCCAGCCCGCGCCAGCCCGCCATAGGAGCTGTTTCACAACACAGAAAAAGGTGGTGCCGAGCGGCGTTTAGCTATGCCCAGCGTTTCGAACCAGATTCACACGTTGATTGTGGGACTGCCCGTGAGTAGAGAATCCAGAGCGGGATTCGTTCCCCTCTTCTCACACGGTTTCACCCCGTCGGCTCCATGTGGGATGCCGGGTGGCATTCGTTTTTCGATCCAATCTGGTTCACTCGTTCTGGAAGTCCCTTTTCGCCAGCTTGCAAGCCAGGAATTGTAGTCTAGCATCGCAATTCCCCAGCCCGCGATGGAATCCCGAGGTTGTTTACAGTACTAGAAGTGGGACACTGTCAGTTGAAGGTGGGCCTGACCAGGGAGCTCGGGCTGCAAAACAAAATATTTTCGAGCATTTTACCCGGAAAAAACAGTGCTGTCCAGACAGGCTTCAAACATTTCAGATCAACATCCAGGATCACATCACAAGCTGGTGGCTGTCCTTTCGAGTTCTTTTGGGAACCCGTCAACAACCCACATGTTGCTGGTGAACCCTGTGCTGCTCGTGTGTGACTGTATGCGAGAAGGGTGCAAGCGTGTGAATTATTGGGGATTGGTGACACGGATCTGTACGTACAACCCTGTGCAGTCATTCATGATGGAACAGAAACAGAAGAAAAGGTAAGGGGGAAAGAAGCGGAAAAGGGGTTCCACGTCGTCATGTCTTGGGTCCCTGTGATGTTCGGGGCTATTCTGAAACAAACGGCTCTTTCTGAGTACAAATTTCTCAAGCAGGAGTATTCACCACGGTAAGATCCTTTTCAACAAGGGTTTTCAAGAAAGTTGGGTCTCAACAGTACTGTATTCGAATGCCGAAGCGTGACAGAAGTGATGACGTGGAGGGCTTGAAAGGCTTGCTTCAGAAGCTTGACATGACAACGGCGGGGGCGGCGTTCCCGAGCAGGTATTCCTACATCGAGTGAGCCCTAAATTATTCGCAACAACGGTGAGCTTCGGTGTACTGTAATGACACCGTACAGTACGTGAAATTTCACCCACGTGAAATTTCCAGTACGTGCACTGGCGCTGGAAAACCCTACTGAAGGAAATCAGATGGAGCTGGCAACCTTGACTTTGGTCCAATTGCCCTCACAGTGACACCAGCTGCCCGTCCGCACCTGCTTGACTGTTCTCCTGGTTGGGTGAATCGCAATCTGGGTTCTGCTGCACTCCACAATTTTTATGGGGGGAATTCGGGGGCAATCGAACTGTTCCATCCCGAGATGCAAGTGGTTCTCAGACACTTTGCAGAATGCAGTTCAGCTACACCCACATTTGTATAGCTTTTCGGTCATCCGCCGGTTGAACGTCCGAGCCTTTTCAGCCTCTCGATACGCCTCTACCTACGGCTAAAATAAAGCCTGTTTTAACAACTGGTAGCGTACGGGGAGGGGAGTCTTGTTTCATGCTTGGCGGAAGGTGGCACGTGGCAAAGGAGCCCAATGCTTGATTTGAATGGGCAGACTAAGGGGATTGTTTAGGGGTGGGGTCACAGGTGGGCCTAAACAATCCAGTTTAGGAGCAACTACAAGGGTAGCCTCGCATAATTTTCTTCAATTGGGAAGCTGGTTCACCATGTTCAGCATGTACACCATGTTCTGAGAAGCTAGTTCCTCTAGCACCCCTCCGAATTCAGACTTCAGCGTTAATCATTACTGTACACCGACTAGCCTATGGCTCGCGTGGGAAGGCAGTGTACAATCTAGGTCAAGGGTTACACTTTGTTTTTATTTAGTTAATGTGGAAAGCATCCTGAGTCGTGATCCGACCCAAGCATCCTGGCGATTTGAGCTTTGTCGTGAGAAATGATAGAACTGAAAATCACAGTATATCCTGGTTCCAAAAATGTATCCTGGTGTCCTGTGATATTCAATCACAGTATATCTTGGTTTATAAAATTTATTTGATGTTGCAGCATTCCAGTTCAAAAAATGTACCGTATTTGTTCACCTCCACCTTCCTACTCTGGTTTGGTGGGGTTTTTCTGCCCGAAGAACCATCTACCGGAATATCTAAACGTGAAGGAGGATTTGCTTGTCTGTTGGGAAACATAAAGAGCTAGCGAATCGAGCTATGGCAACTCGCAAGGGTCACAACAACCATGCCATTCAATGCGGACATCTTCAAAGGGGTGCTGATACAACCAAAGGATCAGTGGATAGGATAGAATGTGTTAAGCCTGAAAGGAGACAGTGAAGTCTCTGTAGTGACCTTGTTGAATAATAGTTGAAAGAGAACAAGATAATTAGAGGATAGGAGTACAAGGAATTAAATAGAAGTCTAACTAGCCATGTACTCTGAGGGGTACATTCCCTTATTAACTGTATTGCATAGCTACAGTAACCACGACTATTGCTATTCTTGACAGTTACCGTGTTGCAGTCTGTTAACTGTCGCGCGGTTACTGGATCGTCAATGGTCACATGCGACCGTTGACTTCCTTGGACGGTTGACCTTCGGGTGACCCTCGATATTCCGCGTGCTCTATATGAGCTATTGCGGTACTGGTACAGTGGAACAACTTCGGGAATGCCTTTATAACCTTTCGGTTATTCCAACACTCCCCTTCATTTATGAAGATGGGCCACGTGGGATTTCTTGGTGATCCCACAGAGGTTGGCGCAGTGCTGGTACTGCTGACGTGGCAGTTTCTTCGTCAGGAAGTCGGCTGCCATGTCACCGGTCGGGCAGTACGTCAGCTTGACTCTCCCCTTGTCGATTTCGTCCTTCACGAAGAAGTAGCGAAGGCCGATGTGCTTGGTGCGGTTGACGAAGCCGGGCTTGTTCGCGATTTTTATCGCGCTCTGATTGTCGCAGAGTAACGTGAAATGCCCGTTCATCGTCACTTTCGCCTCCTGCAGGAGCTCCATCAGGTACAGACCTTCGCGAACAGCTGCGCTAGCTGAATTCTGCTTCAGCTGACGAAAGAGCGATGAGTTCCTGCTTCTGGGAGTTCCAAGAGATGAGTCCAGCAGGTTGAAGCTGGAAAATGAATCCTGTACGGGAGCGTCTGTTATCAACATCTCCGTCATGATCGGCATCCACGTAGCCATGAAGCTGCAGAGTAGCGGTGAGGTTAGCTTCGTAGGTGAGGCCGACATCGGGAGTGGAGATGAAGTACTGTAGTGCTCGTCGTAGATCTAGTAGATTCTCCTTTTCAGGTCGCTTCAGGTACTGTGCGAGCTGGCTAGCGACGTAGGAGAGATCGGGCCGGCACGTGACGGCGGCGAACAGGAGGCAGCCGAGCTGCTGCTGATAGAGACGATGGTCGTTAGGAGAGAGTGGCGTGGTGTCGGGCTCGTGGTTAGGAGGAGGAGTGCGGTAGGGGGTAGTGAGGTTGATGGGAGCGATGGCGAACCGCTTCGCGAGTGTTTCGGCGTATTTGGCGGCGGAGAGGTGAATGGAGGAGGCGGACTGGGTTACGTTGAGGCCGAGGAATTGGGTGACGTTGTGATTGACGGTGACTTCAAGCTTCTCCTTGATGTCAGCCTCGAATTGGTCGAGCAGCTCCGTGTCGTCCCCGGTATAGAGAAGGTCGTCGACGTAGGCAACGAGGAGGATGAACTTTCCGCGTGACTCTCGCCGGTACATTCCAAGGTCGTGTGGCAGTTGAGTGAAGCCGAGCTCAAGGAGGACGGAATGCAGGTACTGCTGCCACAGACGAGGGGCTTGCTTGATTCCGTAGAGGGACTTTTGGAGGAGGCACACGGCACCGTCGCTTTCTTCGAATGCGTGCGGCTGCTCGACGAAGATGATGGCATCGACGGGAGCGTACAGGAAGGCGCTTCCGACGTCGATTTGCCGGAGCGGTCGCTGTTTGACGGCGGCGATGCAGATGAGGATGCGCACCGAGGTGTGACGGCCGACTGGGGCATAGGTGAGGGTGAAGTCCACCAGGTGAGTTTGCTCGAATCCCCGCACCACCCAGCGCGCCTTGTACTTGTCGATCGAGCCATCGGCGAGAGTTTTGATGCGAAAAACCCATTTGCCGCTGAGAATTTTTCTCCCCTTTGCCGATGACCGTGGAACCAGCTTCCAGGTGCCGCGCTTCTTCAGCGACGCGATTTCGGCGGCCATGGCTGCTCTCCATTTGTCACTGTCGGGGCCAGACAGGGCTTGGCGGACGGTGGTGGGTTCCTTGGGCGAGGTGTGGCGAACTGCGACAGCGAGGCCGAGAACCCGAAGACCGGTTTCGTCGGT